ACTAATAAGGAAAGCTATCTTATATTTGGTAAAAATTAAGCGATTTTAGGAAACGTTTTAATAAATTGATACTTCGTTCATGACAACTAACTGTAAATAGGAACTTCAGAATGTAAAACACGGTCGTTCACTTATTATTATTGTTTATTTTTAACTACAAATGTAATTAATACTACATAATCTATCTGCTAAATTAAAAACTATCGAATTATGTATAATAATAAATAATAGTAAAAATTATATTAAAGATAAAGTGATTTACGATAAGATATAATTTAAACTATTTTTTAAGATATTATACAAAAAGATAGATTCATTTATTTATATATAGCTGGTTTTTGGTGTCTTTAAAATATTTATGAATTTTCCATTTTATTTTCGTATGTATTGTATATTTTCAAGTTTAAAAACCAACTTTTTTTTAACTAACACCCTCCTACCCCATCCCGGTTTGATAGGAACACATTCTATTCTATAGTTGCTGGAAACTGGAGCCGTTACCACAACTATCATACTTGTTTCCTCTGTTTTATAAACAACACATTTTTTAGAGTTCTCTTTTGATAATTCTTTCTTTTTTGCAACAGTTTTGAAACAAAACCTGTATTTTTTGGTACACATTTAGACAGTCACTTTCATATTTCCACTTTTGTTAAATTGTTCAAAACGTCTGTTCAAGTTAATAGAGGATCACAAGCCTTTAATATTATACATTAACAGTAAAAAAAGTATTTCAAAATGGCTAATTATTTTTTAGAATAAATGGAAAGTCGGATAAATAAATCCTTGTATATCAAGATATTAAAAGTTTAAAGCTCTCAATGTTGTTTTATCTTCGTTCAGATGAAACAGTAACGTTTTGTTTATTTAAGGTATAAAAGTTCTTTATTTAGTACGAATGTCGTTCAAGAAGCTTCTTCACGAGAAGTGCGATGCATGTATTAAGAGCGGCTCGGGGTCAGGAAGTATGAAAAGATTCTATTCTACCCTCATATGTACAATATTTAAACCGTATTCATGACTTCTTTAAGACATATTACGTTTTGTCAGCTATATAGCTAAAATATGTAGGAGTAATTTCAACTCTTTATACCTTTTTTTTTGTTATTTCCGATATCAGTGTTGTTAGACAATGGGTCCAAAAAAACTATACGACCTTGAATCTCCTTTTGGTCGTGATCAATAAGAACTTTTTTTTGTATGTTTGATATTATATCAAACTATCAGACCCTGACAATTATTGTATACAATATGTTTGAACTGACTTCGCTTGCATTCTTTTGCTTACATTCAGTCACTTCTACAAGAAAAATAGCCTGTAGATATTTTAAATATAATATTCACAAAATTCTAATCCAAACTAAGTTAGAAGATTATTAAAGAATACACACACATACAAAATTTCACAATTATAATATTACTAGCTTTTGCCGCGACTTCGTCCGCCTGGAATAGTGACTTCCAGCAGATTTTTGGTTCTTCCCACATAGTTCCCGTTCTTTCGGGGTTTTCGGAATGGTTGAGTTCCCATAGAAAATCAGGATGAAACCTATGTTTTTTTTTAATTCACAATGAAGTACTCTTAACCAACAACATATGTATTTGTTTATTTGAATAAAGATTTATATTATTATGTTGATACAACTTAAACAAATTATTTCGACAAAATTAGGTACCATAAAAATTGTTTTTGTGAGTTCATCGTAAAAGTTAGACATATACTATCGCGGACTGTTTTTTAGATCATTAAAAGAGCTATTATTCTTTAATACATATTTTTTGTGTATCTTGAACCGTTTTCAAGGCGCACGCAACGGAAGGCTTCAAAGATGAAATAATTTCTCCCGTTTTTTACACATTTACCACTATATCTTTGCTCCTAATGGTCGTAGCGTGATGTTATATAGCCTACAGCCTTCCTCGATAACTGGACTATCCAACACAAAAAGAATTATTCAATTCGAACCAGTAGTTTCGGAGATTAGCGCTTTCAAACAAACAAACAAACAAACTCTTCAGCTTTATAATATTAGTATAGATTTTTTAAACCAGAATCTACTACGCAATTATAATAATTATATATATTTTTTTAAATGTTTAATTTTAACGAGCCTGTCGCCTCTCCTTAGAACAATTTACCGTGACGTACATATAAATATGCACGATATATTTTTTAACGTTCAGCTCTTAAACGCTCTCGTATGTTCAACCCCGTGATATTTGAAGCGACGTGTCGCGACGGTGGGACTTCAAAAATAATTCTGTAAAATTTTATTACGACTTTTTACTAAAACTATTAATCTCTGCTCTCGTTATATACTATTTAGATATGAGTACAATTATTACTTTAGTAAACTAAAACTGGTTCTCATAATAAAGTGATAAAATTAAAGCACGTATCAAATGAATGGCTAGTGTAGTTTTACACTGTTAAGAACATTATCTGAGAATATCTAAGTAGCGATACCCGTTACTTGGATTTTGCAGTGTCGTAAAAACTTGAACAAGTTTCGTAAATGAATTCTTGAACACTGCGGAATGGTTTCCAATTATTTTAAAGTCCTCGCTAAGTCCGAGTTATCTTGTAATGATCGTTTTTATCCGGATGTTTTGATACTTTTTTTATATAGGTATAAATGATATAAATATATTATATAAAAGTCAAGTTGTTACTGTGTTTAATAGCCGTCACCATCATGATTGTTGTGGTACTGCAATGAAGATGATAATGATTATAAAATTATTATATACTGCAATATATTTAGTTTCTTATTACTACGTCCTTGTTAACATTGAAAATGTATTAAATTTTCCAGTTACGATAAACTTAAGACATTACTGGTAGGTAGATGTTAAAATCTCGGGTGAAGAAAATGCCAAATAGAAACGAGTTTCTTCCTCGGTCACCTTCGATGTAAGTGCCGTATAATGCATGTCGATAATGTCATTGAAGGACTATCTTCCAAGTGTAGACACTTCATGTTTTATCGTCTGCTCGTGTGAAGCGTCATCACCCAGCTATCAATCTTCAGTCAGCGACGACACTGTTTGACCTCTGTGATAACGGTTACCCAGATTGACTGACTTATTGCAATGTTCACTGACAATGCATAATGACATTATTTATGTGTAACATATAAAGTTATTGACGGAAAGATTTCGCCGACTCCATATTTTAATACTAGCTTTCCGCCCGCAGCTTCGCCCGCGTGGAGTTCGGTTATATCGCGTTTCCAAGAGAACCTTTCAAAATTCTGGGATAAAAACTATCCTATGTTCTTTCTCAAGGTCAGCTCTATCTCTGTACCCATTAAAATCAGTTCAGTGGTTTAGGCGTGAAAGCGTAACAGACAGACAGACTTATTTTCGCATTTATAATAGTAGTAGGGATAAGCCAAAATGTATGCAGCGTTTATGTTTTACATTAATGACGAAATCCCCAAGAGATGTATTCGTTTCTCTTTAGTTTTAAAATTCCAATGTAAAACGAGGGCTGTTTGAAAAAGATGATGTCTGTGTGTTTGTGTTTGCAAATGACGTCATAGCTCCCCAACGGATCGATAGATTTTGATGATGATTTTTTTTAATTGAAAGCCAAATCCCTTGCGTTAGTTCGTAGCTAAATAACTTATTATTTGTATTTAATTGTTGTTGTATTAAATTATTTTTATGTTTAATTTGTTTAGTACGAGGCGATGATAAAAGGAAAAATTGTGAGGAAAATTTAACACTTGTCTTATCAATATAAATAAACTTATAAAGTAACATATTGTATGTCCTAAAATATTATTAGATAAAATAAATAATCAGAGATTTAAATTAAGTTTTTACAATAAGAAAGGTAAACGCCGTGTCAATGACAGGTGGGTAGTGGGTCTACAAAGAAGTTTGTTAAATGGGGTTTTTATACCTCGTTTAACCTAACCAAAGTCTGTTAGAGACGAGCTGGTTTAATTGCGTAAGGAATGAAAAATGATTCAATTTGAGATAAAAAAAACTTTTCGTATCCAAAGACAGATTATATAAATGGAAGTTCACTTGATCCTCGAGCGAAAGATGCGAACAGCGGCCGTTAGCCTTCGAATTTTATTTAAACATTTTCCTCGTTTGAAAACAAATGTTTTTATAACACTTTTTAGTGTAATTCTTAGTCTAAATATGAATTTAATAAGTTTCATGTTTATATTATAATAAAGATTAAAAGAAATTGCATAATAGATAAAGGGAATGCGGAGAGTGTTTGTTTTTATAGAGGAATAATATTAATGGCTGCAATACTGTGTATCTTAAGGTCAAATTACGTATATACTTAAATAATGTATATATATACTTAATTTGTCTGTATGAATATATGATTTTTTTATTAATATACAGGGTGACTGGTGAATTACTATCAGTATTTAAGGAGAATACTCGGTACATGATTCTCATTCGAATTATGTAAAAAAAATAGGTTCTTAATTTTTGACCAAATTTCCGTATAAATAAATAAAGTGTGGACACGTTCCAAGTGTGGACGCGTGCGGCGGCGTGCTGATACAACACCACGCCGCCGCACGCGTGTGTGTGTGTGAGTGTGTGTATACCTAATCTGTAGGGTGTTCACACGATGCGTAATTAATTACATAACTTTTGGTTAACTTTACTTAGAAGTTTATTAATATTTATGTTATATTAATTTTTATTTTGTCTTATATGATCGTCAAATATCACGTCCTCAAGTATCGATAGTAATTCACCAGTCACCCTGTATAATAAGAAATATAACAGTGTGAAGTGAACTTTATACATATTTATATATATATTTTTATAATTTCTAAGATTTCCACGTGTTGGATTATTATGATTAAATACAGTACAATTATATTCTGAGATATAATTTGATCTGTTCTTAAACATAACTTCGCTTATTAACTAGCTTATTAACACCGTTCCTTGTAAAGTAATTAAACGGTTTAAAGAAAAATATGAAATTATAAGTAATTGTTTTGTTTCATCAGGGTTTGAGGACAACAACAATAATAGGATCTTTCGGAACCTGTGCTGGAGCGTGGTTGAAGGTGTTCTCCGTGCCACCAGACATGTTCTGGCTGGGCTTCGCTGGGCAGACGGTGGTGGCGGTTGCCCAAGTGTTCATACTGAACGTACCTCCAAGACTAGCAGCTGTGTGGTTCGGAGCTGATCAAGTCTCCTCCGCCTGCAGCATCGGGGTCTTTGGGAATCAGGTAGGTTTGATTTGCAATAGAGTTTTGGTGATTTAACTGCAAAAATTTGATTTTATCCAATAGTTAATGATTTAACTAAACATGTAAAATAGTAAAATTAGCATTATAACGAAACAAATCTTTATGTCAATAGAATTTTGGTGTTTCAATCGCAATAATTTTATATTGACCGAAAGCTAAAGGTATGACAAAAATGCAAAATAGTAAAATGTTGGTATATGTATATGTGTAACGAATTCAGAAACAAAATGTTTGAAATGACTTATAGTGATTACATAGTGACATTAAAGCAACAAGTGGTCCTGTTCGCGTATTCACGTGTCTCTAGAAAGTAATACGATTAATAATAACCTCCGTTATTCGTTGATGAAATTTTAATAATTTATAACATGATGTTTTTTGTATCTTCCGTATGCTTAGCGTAAGTCTGCGTTCACCCTATATATGTTGCGTTTTCCATTTCTCATTCGATAAACTACTCAATATTAAAATGTGCAATGATTTATGGCTATTACGTAAAATATATAGCAAATAATCTTTGTCAATTATTTGTGCCAACACATGTGTTTTTTGTGTATTTTGTGCATCTCCTAATCGCTGGATCGTAAAGCTAAAAAAACATCCAATTATGGCTACAACGTTCGTCCCCTACAAGGAGTGACAAACAAGCTGAACACTTGCCCTAGTCCTGATTTTATTCCACTCGTTTGTGAATTATGATAAAATTAGAAAAATATTAATTGCTCTAAAAATAATTTAAATTTGGGAGTTCCTAAACCAATCCATACGATTAGTAGAATTTTCCTATTGAAAGGATTACAGTCGCTGTCGATAACTGGTCTCAGCGTTTAAAGACCTGCATTGTAGATAATGAAGACCACTTGAATCAATTTTATATATATTTATTGTTTTTATTATAGAGACGAAACCTCTTAGCATTCGATGGATTCACCGTGCGGGTGCCGGGTCCATCGCGTTGCAGGGAGAGGAGCTTCAACAGTGCCTGGGACTTGCGACCCAGGTGTAGGTTTAAGGGGCCCCTTAACTAACGCGCGTTATACGCTCACCTCCACTGTCCAAGCTCCTCTCCCTACCCAACCAAATTTGAAAAGAACCCACTAGGGCTGCCTTCGACGTACGTTCTAAGAATGAATTAATGTTAGTTCTGGACAGGCCCAAGTCTTTTAGTAGATTATAGAGAGATTTAGCTGTTATACCTCTCGCTCCCACCTCTACCGCGTACAAATCAACGACGAACCTATTTCGAGTTAGTTCGTTAGTGAGCTCGTAATACTTATTGACCTTGATGGCATGGTCTTTGGGGATGTTGGTTTCCCAAGGCACCGTAAGCTCTATCATCACAACGCGCTTTAAAATACGCGAATATAGAAATATGTCTGGTCTGGAGGCCGACGCACAAATATCCTCGGGGATTTTGTATTGTTTCTCATACGTATCCATCATGATAGTCCAATCCGAAGCCGCTTTAAGGATAGAGTAAGGCTTGACGTTTGATTTTATAGCCCTGGTGCCCTCTCTCACAAAACCTATTGATCGCTCGTTTGTGGTTATTTCCCTTTGCGCTCTGGCTACCGAAAGACTAACCGCTTCACGTATGATCTCTAAAACCCTATCGTGACGACGCGAGTATTGACCGCTGTCCAGGAGAACCTTACATCCCACCAGCAAATGCTTGGCGGTTCCAACTGCCTTTCCGCAGATATAGCAAGTTTTTTCGGTACCTTTACCCCATCTTACTAAATTACTCTGATCTGGGAGAGTCATCTGGAACGCATTGAGATAAAATTTTAGCAAGGCTGGCGACCAGTCATGAATTAGGGTGCGCCATTTTAGTGCTAGTGGAATGCAAAAAGCTCCCATGTCTAACCACTCGTTCTGCATTTCTAAACTCATTGCATGGATCTTGTATTTATCGTTCTCGTCTTGCCGAATAAAAGACTTCAATATATCCGTATCTTGGACTTTCCTACTTGATCCTAACCCTACTCTGTTATTTTGCGCTCCGATCATAAATTGTTTATGGAATTGAAGTCGTGACTCTAGCTCTGGGGCATCATTGTCTTTTGGGAGTGATGTAACGACGTCATCATGGGATTTTCCCAGGATATGTCTCTTGGAAACTCTTAGGTGTTTGTAGAGCTCCGATGGTCTTTTTAGATTCATCCCAAAACTATTACGATCCCTGAATAAAGCCGATGAATCAGCCGTTAGCGCGAGCCCGAGCCACAACTTCAACATCTTTATGACGCCTGCATCTAATTTAGATAAAAGGGTTTTACTAAAATCATAGACGAGGAAAGGCCAATTCAAACGTGAAGTTAAGTAATTATCGTAGATCCATGCTTTTTTTACGTTACTGATCTGCTGGCTATCTACCTTGTTGAGATCATTTAAAAAGCTATCTACTATTCCTTCTAAAGATGGAGTACGACCTATATTATCAATCTTACGACCGAGAAACTTGAATGGTGCATTTTCCGTAACCGTAGAAACGCATTGACCGCCTATCGATAGTCCCGGATCGTATGAGGTGTATCTTGTATTCCGCCTACCAAGACACAGACAGTGACATTTACTTGGTTTTGTCCTCAATCCATCCGTCCACTCACAGAATTTATCCACTTCATCCAATAGTACTTGACAGTGTTTGGGGAGACGTGTCAGTATTGCGAGATCGTCAGCGAAGGCTAAAATGGATTCCGTGTATTTGTTATTGAACTTAAACCGATACCCCCATTTTTTCTCATTGCTGATAAGTTTATCTACTAGGATATTGATTATAATATTAAATACTATTGGAGATAAACAGCACCCTTGGAATAGTCCTACATTGTAACTCAAACTTTTTGAAGGGCCTTCTTTAGTTATAATAGAAAACTTTAATTTTGAGTAATACGACGCAATCATATCGCTAACTAAGGGTGGAAAGTTATACCATCTAAGCGCGAATAGCATCAACTCGTGTTGTATCGACCCGAACGCGTTCTCTAAGTCTATCCAACAAACTGTAATTTGCCGCTCGCTTTTTCTAGCATCTTTCAAACTCTCCGACAGCAAGGTGTTGTGTTCTAGGCATCCAGAAATCCCGGGTAGAAACCCTTTCTGGTGATTTGGCCTAAAATACTTGTTGCTGAGCATGAATCGCGTCATTCTCGTTTGTAGGACCGAGAAAAAGATTTTAGATATTGTATTTGTTAAGGCTATCGGTCTAGTATCTTTCGGATCGGTAACTCGATCTTTTTTGGGAATGAGGACAAAAATTGCTTTCCCGAAACACTCCGGGATTTGCTTCCTTGACCAGATTTTGCCGTATATATTTATGAGGTGTTTACGAACCGATGGACATTTTTTAAAGACTATATATGGGATACCATCGGGGCCCGGTGCAGATTTAGATGATTTCCTCTTTATGTGACTACTTATTTCGTCTAACGTTGGTGGTATGCCGTGAAAATCGATATGAGGAATTTCCGGTTTTTGTTCGTTTGGATCCGTATAGAGCCTTACACTTTTAGGCACTTCGTATGTGCTCTTGAAATGGTCGTAAATTTGATCATTGGTCAAGAGAAGCTGTCCGCGTTCTTTCTTAAAAATGGTTTTCGAATACTCAAAAGGGTTTTTATCGAAATCTACTTCCTGTTTGGCCCGGTCAAAATTACCGCGATATTCTGCAGTTTGTGCCGATATTCCTTGAATTAATTTAAGGATTGACCTTAACGCCCTAGCTAGCTGATGACTAAGGTGGTTGTCGCCTAGAGCTTTGGCTATACGTAGATTTTTTATTAATTCCCGTTTTTTCTTCCTCATTTTTATCTTGAACGAATTTTCTTTATTTTTGCGAGCGTAATGATTACGTGGTGGATATTGCTCGTTGAAGTAGTCATAAACGGTATTTTGGAAAGTTTCTACCTGCGAGTTCAATTCCTGCTTCGAGCCCGGATGCTCTAACAGGACCGCTAAATTGTCGTCGTGAACTTTCCAAGTCGATTGTTTCATGTTAGGAATGCTAAGACGTGTCCGGATGTTAATGGACTCCTGGTGGTTTCCAGTTAATGGTTCACCATGGGATACGTGAGGGTCAACTCTATCCGAAGTGATAATTGAAGAACTTACCAACGATTGTCGCGCTTCAACACCATTATGTGTTTTTAGGTGTTTAATGTACCAGGCTTGTCTCTTGTAATTTTTCCCGCACGTAGGGCATTTCAAGTCCGTATTCGCGCCGTTTTCGCCGTTTAAATCGACCGGTGGACAGATCTTCCGCCCCCCCTCTCGGACTGTCCCAGGGGTATTTTTCTTTATAGGACTTTTAGCTTTATATATACCGGGCTGGGCTTGCTAGGCCGTTGCCCTCGGCTGTCTTTCCAGCAGTCATCCGTCTTTCCGGCAGTCATCCGTCTTTCCGGCAGTCATCTGTCTTTCCAGAGTCAGCCCGACTCTCCGGGCAGTCGTTTTATATGAGACGAAACCTCTTAGCATTCGATGGATTCACCGTGCGGGTGCCGGGTCCATCGCGTTGCAGGGAGAGGAGCTTCAACAGTGCCTGGGACTTGCGACCCAGGTGTAGGTTTAAGGGGCCCCTTAACTAACGCGCGTTATACGCTCACCTCCACTGTCCAAGCTCCTCTCCCTACCCAACCAAATTTGAAAAGAACCCACTAGGGCTGCCTTCGACGTACGTTCTAAGAATGAATTAATGTTAGTTCTGGACAGGCCCAAGTCTTTTAGTAGATTATAGAGAGATTTAGCTGTTATACCTCTCGCTCCCACCTCTACCGCGTACAAATCAACGACGAACCTATTTCGAGTTAGTTCGTTAGTGAGCTCGTAATACTTATTGACCTTGATGGCATGGTCTTTGGGGATGTTGGTTTCCCAAGGCACCGTAAGCTCTATCATCACAACGCGCTTTAAAATACGCGAATATAGAAATATGTCTGGTCTGGAGGCCGACGCACAAATATCCTCGGGGATTTTGTATTGTTTCTCATACGTATCCATCATGATAGTCCAATCCGAAGCCGCTTTAAGGATAGAGTAAGGCTTGACGTTTGATTTTATAGCCCTGGTGCCCTCTCTCACAAAACCTATTGATCGCTCGTTTGTGGTTATTTCCCTTTGCGCTCTGGCTACCGAAAGACTAACCGCTTCACGTATGATCTCTAAAACCCTATCGTGACGACGCGAGTATTGACCGCTGTCCAGGAGAACCTTACATCCCACCAGCAAATGCTTGGCGGTTCCAACTGCCTTTCCGCAGATATAGCAAGTTTTTTCGGTACCTTTACCCCATCTTACTAAATTACTCTGATCTGGGAGAGTCATCTGGAACGCATTGAGATAAAATTTTAGCAAGGCTGGCGACCAGTCATGAATTAGGGTGCGCCATTTTAGTGCTAGTGGAATGCAAAAAGCTCCCATGTCTAACCACTCGTTCTGCATTTCTAAACTCATTGCATGGATCTTGTATTTATCGTTCTCGTCTTGCCGAATAAAAGACTTCAATATATCCGTATCTTGGACTTTCCTACTTGATCCTAACCCTACTCTGTTATTTTGCGCTCCGATCATAAATTGTTTATGGAATTGAAGTCGTGACTCTAGCTCTGGGGCATCATTGTCTTTTGGGAGTGATGTAACGACGTCATCATGGGATTTTCCCAGGATATGTCTCTTGGAAACTCTTAGGTGTTTGTAGAGCTCCGATGGTCTTTTTAGATTCATCCCAAAACTATTACGATCCCTGAATAAAGCCGATGAATCAGCCGTTAGCGCGAGCCCGAGCCACAACTTCAACATCTTTATGACGCCTGCATCTAATTTAGATAAAAGGGTTTTACTAAAATCATAGACGAGGAAAGGCCAATTCAAACGTGAAGTTAAGTAATTATCGTAGATCCATGCTTTTTTTACGTTACTGATCTGCTGGCTATCTACCTTGTTGAGATCATTTAAAAAGCTATCTACTATTCCTTCTAAAGATGGAGTACGACCTATATTATCAATCTTACGACCGAGAAACTTGAATGGTGCATTTTCCGTAACCGTAGAAACGCATTGACCGCCTATCGATAGTCCCGGATCGTATGAGGTGTATCTTGTATTCCGCCTACCAAGACACAGACAGTGACATTTACTTGGTTTTGTCCTCAATCCATCCGTCCACTCACAGAATTTATCCACTTCATCCAATAGTACTTGACAGTGTTTGGGGAGACGTGTCAGTATTGCGAGATCGTCAGCGAAGGCTAAAATGGATTCCGTGTATTTGTTATTGAACTTAAACCGATACCCCCATTTTTTCTCATTGCTGATAAGTTTATCTACTAGGATATTGATTATAATATTAAATACTATTGGAGATAAACAGCACCCTTGGAATAGTCCTACATTGTAACTCAAACTTTTTGAAGGGCCTTCTTTAGTTATAATAGAAAACTTTAATTTTGAGTAATACGACGCAATCATATCGCTAACTAAGGGTGGAAAGTTATACCATCTAAGCGCGAATAGCATCAACTCGTGTTGTATCGACCCGAACGCGTTCTCTAAGTCTATCCAACAAACTGTAATTTGCCGCTCGCTTTTTCTAGCATCTTTCAAACTCTCCGACAGCAAGGTGTTGTGTTCTAGGCATCCAGAAATCCCGGGTAGAAACCCTTTCTGGTGATTTGGCCTAAAATACTTGTTGCTGAGCATGAATCGCGTCATTCTCGTTTGTAGGACCGAGAAAAAGATTTTAGATATTGTATTTGTTAAGGCTATCGGTCTAGTATCTTTCGGATCGGTAACTCGATCTTTTTTGGGAATGAGGACAAAAATTGCTTTCCCGAAACACTCCGGGATTTGCTTCCTTGACCAGATTTTGCCGTATATATTTATGAGGTGTTTACGAACCGATGGACATTTTTTAAAGACTATATATGGGATACCATCGGGGCCCGGTGCAGATTTAGATGATTTCCTCTTTATGTGACTACTTATTTCGTCTAACGTTGGTGGTATGCCGTGAAAATCGATATGAGGAATTTCCGGTTTTTGTTCGTTTGGATCCGTATAGAGCCTTACACTTTTAGGCACTTCGTATGTGCTCTTGAAATGGTCGTAAATTTGATCATTGGTCAAGAGAAGCTGTCCGCGTTCTTTCTTAAAAATGGTTTTCGAATACTCAAAAGGGTTTTTATCGAAATCTACTTCCTGTTTGGCCCGGTCAAAATTACCGCGATATTCTGCAGTTTGTGCCGATATTCCTTGAATTAATTTAAGGATTGACCTTAACGCCCTAGCTAGCTGATGACTAAGGTGGTTGTCGCCTAGAGCTTTGGCTATACGTAGATTTTTTATTAATTCCCGTTTTTTCTTCCTCATTTTTATCTTGAACGAATTTTCTTTATTTTTGCGAGCGTAATGATTACGTGGTGGATATTGCTCGTTGAAGTAGTCATAAACGGTATTTTGGAAAGTTTCTACCTGCGAGTTCAATTCCTGCTTCGAGCCCGGATGCTCTAACAGGACCGCTAAATTGTCGTCGTGAACTTTCCAAGTCGATTGTTTCATGTTAGGAATGCTAAGACGTGTCCGGATGTTAATGGACTCCTGGTGGTTTCCAGTTAATGGTTCACCATGGGATACGTGAGGGTCAACTCTATCCGAAGTGATAATTGAAGAACTTACCAACGATTGTCGCGCTTCAACACCATTATGTGTTTTTAGGTGTTTAATGTACCAGGCTTGTCTCTTGTAATTTTTCCCGCACGTAGGGCATTTCAAGTCCGTATTCGCGCCGTTTTCGCCGTTTAAATCGACCGGTGGACAGATCTTCCGCCCCCCCTCTCGGACTGTCCCAGGGGTATTTTTCTTTATAGGACTTTTAGCTTTATATATACCGGGCTGGGCTTGCTAGGCCGTTGCCCTCGGCTGTCTTTCCAGCAGTCATCCGTCTTTCCGGCAGTCATCCGTCTTTCCGGCAGTCATCTGTCTTTCCAGAGTCAGCCCGACTCTCCGGGCAGTCGTTTTATATGAGACGAAACCTCTTAGCATTCGATGGATTCACCGTGCGGGTGCCGGGTCCATCGCGTTGCAGGGAGAGGAGCTTCAACAGTGCCTGGGACTTGCGACCCAGGTGTAGGTTTAAGGGGCCCCTTAACTAACGCGCGTTATACGCTCACCTCCACTGTCCAAGCTCCTCTCCCTACCCAACCAAATTTGAAAAGAACCCACTAGGGCTGCCTTCGACGTACGTTCTAAGAATGAATTAATGTTAGTTCTGGACAGGCCCAAGTCTTTTAGTAGATTATAGAGAGATTTAGCTGTTATACCTCTCGCTCCCACCTCTACCGCGTACAAATCAACGACGAACCTATTTCGAGTTAGTTCGTTAGTGAGCTCGTAATACTTATTGACCTTGATGGCATGGTCTTTGGGGATGTTGGTTTCCCAAGGCACCGTAAGCTCTATCATCACAACGCGCTTTAAAATACGCGAATATAGAAATATGTCTGGTCTGGAGGCCGACGCACAAATATCCTCGGGGATTTTGTATTGTTTCTCATACGTATCCATCATGATAGTCCAATCCGAAGCCGCTTTAAGGATAGAGTAAGGCTTGACGTTTGATTTTATAGCCCTGGTGCCCTCTCTCACAAAACCTATTGATCGCTCGTTTGTGGTTATTTCCCTTTGCGCTCTGGCTACCGAAAGACTAACCGCTTCACGTATGATCTCTAAAACCCTATCGTGACGACGCGAGTATTGACCGCTGTCCAGGAGAACCTTACATCCCACCAGCAAATGCTTGGCGGTTCCAACTGCCTTTCCGCAGATATAGCAAGTTTTTTCGGTACCTTTACCCCATCTTACTAAATTACTCTGATCTGGGAGAGTCATCTGGAACGCATTGAGATAAAATTTTAGCAAGGCTGGCGACCAGTCATGAATTAGGGTGCGCCATTTTAGTGCTAGTGGAATGCAAAAAGCTCCCATGTCTAACCACTCGTTCTGCATTTCTAAACTCATTGCATGGATCTTGTATTTATCGTTCTCGTCTTGCCGAATAAAAGACTTCAATATATCCGTATCTTGGACTTTCCTACTTGATCCTAACCCTACTCTGTTATTTTGCGCTCCGATCATAAATTGTTTATGGAATTGAAGTCGTGACTCTAGCTCTGGGGCATCATTGTCTTTTGGGAGTGATGTAACGACGTCATCATGGGATTTTCCCAGGATATGTCTCTTGGAAACTCTTAGGTGTTTGTAGAGCTCCGATGGTCTTTTTAGATTCATCCCAAAACTATTACGATCCCTGAATAAAGCCGATGAATCAGCCGTTAGCGCGAGCCCGAGCCACAACTTCAACATCTTTATGACGCCTGCATCTAATTTAGATAAAAGGGTTTTACTAAAATCATAGACGAGGAAAGGCCAATTCAAACGTGAAGTTAAGTAATTATCGTAGATCCATGCTTTTTTTACGTTACTGATCTGCTGGCTATCTACCTTGTTGAGATCATTTAAAAAGCTATCTACTATTCCTTCTAAAGATGGAGTACGACCTATATTATCAATCTTACGACCGAGAAACTTGAATGGTGCATTTTCCGTAACCGTAGAAACGCATTGACCGCCTATCGATAGTCCCGGATCGTATGAGGTGTATCTTGTATTCCGCCTACCAAGACACAGACAGTGACATTTACTTGGTTTTGTCCTCAATCCATCCGTCCACTCACAGAATTTATCCACTTCATCCAATAGTACTTGACAGTGTTTGGGGAGACGTGTCAGTATTGCGAGATCGTCAGCGAAGGCTAAAATGGATTCCGTGTATTTGTTATTGAACTTAAACCGATACCCCCATTTTTTCTCATTGCTGATAAGTTTATCTACTAGGATATTGATTATAATATTAAATACTATTGGAGATAAACAGCACCCTTGGAATAGTCCTACATTGTAACTCAAACTTTTTGAAGGGCCTTCTTTAGTTATAATAGAAAACTTTAATTTTGAGTAATACGACGCAATCATATCGCTAACTAAGGGTGGAAAGTTATACCATCTAAGCGCGAATAGCATCAACTCGTGTTGTATCGACCCGAACGCGTTCTCTAAGTCTATCCAACAAACTGTAATTTGCCGCTCGCTTTTTCTAGCATCTTTCAAACTCTCCGACAGCAAGGTGTTGTGTTCTAGGCATCCAGAAATCCCGGGTAGAAACCCTTTCTGGTGATTTGGCCTAAAATACTTGTTGCTGAGCATGAATCGCGTCATTCTCGTTTGTAGGACCGAGAAAAAGATTTTAGATATTGTATTTGTTAAGGCTATCGGTCTAGTATCTTTCGGATCGGTAACTCGATCTTTTTTGGGAATGAGGACAAAAATTGCTTTCCCGAAACACTCCGGGATTTGCTTCCTTGACCAGATTTTGCCGTATATATTTATGAGGTGTTTACGAACCGATGGACATTTTTTAAAGACTATATATGGGATACCATCGGGGCCCGGTGCAGATTTAGATGATTTCCTCTTTATGTGACTACTTATTTCGTCTAACGTTGGTGGTATGCCGTGAAAATCGATATGAGGAATTTCCGGTTTTTGTTCGTTTGGATCCGTATAGAGCCTTACACTTTTAGGCACTTCGTATGTGCTCTTGAAATGGTCGTAAATTTGATCATTGGTCAAGAGAAGCTGTCCGCGTTCTTTCTTAAAAATGGTTTTCGAATACTCAAAAGGGTTTTTATCGAAATCTACTTCCTGTTTGGCCCGGTCAAAATTACCGCGATATTCTGCAGTTTGTGCCGATATTCCTTGAATTAATTTAAGGATTGACCTTAACGCCCTAGCTAGCTGATGACTAAGGTGGTTGTCGCCTAGAGCTTTGGCTATACGTAGATTTTTTATTAATTCCCGTTTTTTCTTCCTCATTTTTATCTTGAACGAATTTTCTTTATTTTTGCGAGCGTAATGATTACGTGGTGGATATTGCTCGTTGAAGTAGTCATAAACGGTATTTTGGAAAGTTTCTACCTGCGAGTTCAATTCCTGCTTCGAGCCCGGATGCTCTAACAGGACCGCTAAATTGTCGTCGTGAACTTTCCAAGTCGATTGTTTCATGTTAGGAATGCTAAGACGTGTCCGGATGTTAATGGACTCCTGGTGGTTTCCAGTTAATGGTTCACCATGGGATACGTGAGGGTCAACTCTATCCGAAGTGATAATTGAAGAACTTACCAACGATTGTCGCGCTTCAACACCATTATGTGTTTTTAGGTGTTTAATGTACCAGGCTTGTCTCTTGTAATTTTTCCCGCACGTAGGGCATTTCAAGTCCGTATTCGCGCCGTTTTCGCCGTTTAAATCGACCGGTGGACAGATCTTCCGCCCCCCCTCTCGGACTGTCCCAGGGGTATTTTTCGTTCGTGGTGGATATATAGTAATGGATTTTATGTAAAAAAAAATATCTTCTTTGTAACAGTGTAGGAACAAAAAGTATATGACCAAGAATATAACTAATCCTTAAAATGTTTTAAATACATTTATTCAAAAGGCTTCTGTTTAAAATTTGACAAAAATATTTGTTTTTATAAAAAATAAATAGTATCACGCGAAGTATTTTTCCAGTTATGAGCTGTTTTTCAAATGTTTTCCTTACTCGAATAACACCGGTGGCTGGTCGGTCGAGATAAGGCCGTCCCATAAGTAGGCTTTATGCAAAAGGTAATGAAATGAGATAATTTTATTACGAGGTTTGTTATGCATATAAAAATTATATGAATAAGGTCATTAAATAGCCACAAGTTATATAGGATATAGAACATGTATTTTTGTCAACAGTTTCTGTATATTAGTTGGAAATCAAAATAACATTTCGTCTGCCCGTGATCACGGTTGCTGTAAAGTAACCGAAACGTCGGGAGTATGTAGTTTATGGTCAAACATAAAAAATCGCGTAGTAATTCCGTAAATTTAGTTTAATTTAAATCAAAATATATTTTAATGAAGGTATTATATGTATATATTTTTATATATATTATTTTTGCCATCCGGTTCATAATATAAGTATGAATGACAGATCTCCGTAGTATTCCAAAGCATTAATGATGACGATTGCTATCGGAAGCGTTTATCCAATTGTTTGAAGAGCTGGAGGGTCTGGTGTGATTCAGTTCGTCTATTATAATCTGATGACCTAATCTATGACGTCATCTAGACGACGTATACATATATAATACAATAAATATAGAAAAAACATAATGCTAGTAGGTACCTAGTAATGAGATCGTATTACCGTAAATGACTCCTCCGTGCATGTTAGCAGGTACTGTTACGGTAAATGCATAGTTTTGTGCGTTTAGAAGTTCCTTAACATTCTTCTGTCTTAAGCTAGATCATTCATTAAGTGAAGTCATCTCTGTACTATTATCAATTGGGTTTTTGAAAAAAAAAAAAGTATTGATTTTTTTTATGTATTTTAAAACTTTATTATTAATTATATTGGATTTTTAATGCAAAAAACTTGAAATATATTTTTTAAATTAATTATAAACAATTAAAAATTGATAAAATTCAAAAATATATCACGTGACTGTAAACGCGCCATGATTGGTCAGCATACTTGTGACGTCATAATGTTAAAGCAATTTCATAATAGTACAGTGTTTATGGCTATTATCTTTAACTTGATAAAAATATCTCAAATTTATTAGTGAAAAACGATTTGAAAAGTTTATTTCGACTATGTGTGATAAAGGATTTATAAAAGCAAAATCGGATAATATTCCTGATGTTAATATATTTTTATGATAACTAATTTTTTAAAAAGTGCGGTTTAATTTTGCTGAAGTTCGAGGTGCTAAGACATCAAGGTAAGTCTGTCAAAAAATACTATTCTAAATGAAAATTAGTATTTATTCTCTATTAAATATAATTAATAATTATTTCATTAAATCATTATTAATAAAATGTTATTATAACATTATAAAAAAAACCAAAATAACATATATGTACTTTAAAAATTTAAATGTAGTCTGATACAGAACCTAGAATGTTATAAAATTATGAAAATATCTATTAATTGAAGTCCAATTATTAGACAAACATATATATAGATTTACTATTTAATCGCTTTGAATTATCAATTAAAATTTTTTAATGCTACGATTCTAAAGGTTATGATTTGGAGCCCAGGTAAAAAAATTAATTATTGAACTATACTTATTCGATTTATACACTTAGATAAATAATAATTAATAACAATACTATTATGAAAACTTACAACGAAATGATCTTCACAACAAAAAAAAAATGATTTTGTTTTTGAATAATCTCGATGCACTGCTTGAAACCATTTCTTTCGACGTTTTTCGTCTTGTGGAACATTTAAAAACATTTTTTCAGGAGTTGTTTTTGTAGTCTTTGTACATAATGGTACAAAACTTTTGATTATTTAACAATGCCAACAGAATTTACTAGATAAAAACTCAAAACACTGTACTAATTATTATATCTCTGTATGCTACAATGAGCAAAAACTAACATTGTGACGTCACACGCGCTCGGGTTTATTCACGAGCTGTCGGCTTGTCTTCGGTACTGAATTTAAAATTTAATTTTTATTTTGAAATAACTTTTTAAATATTGCAAAAAAAAATAAAATAAAAATAGTTTTGTTATTAAACTTATATATGATCTTTCCATTTATCACAAAAAAAAAAATAATTCAAAAACCCAATTGTCAAAGATCCAAAGTATGTAGATTATTATCAAATAACGGTAACAAGTAGGTGTGCTTATTCTAAGTTTTCATCGTCACACTAAATACGTATCGTTTCGCGTTTCTCAACGTCAGTGCTTCGATGTGGTGTGACTGTTGAATGGCTTAACTTAATACTCCGTAATAACTTAATACTCCGTAACTAGTGTAATGCAAAATTAGAATAAGCATATTAATATCAGCCAGTGGTGACCTAGTGGTTAAAAATCCGCCTGTAGTGCACGAGGCCGCGGGTTCTATCCTGGCAAGTACTAATGTGATTTTTCAGTCATATGTACTTTCTTAGAGTATTTAGACACCACTGACAGACGGTGAAGGAAAACATAGTGAGGAAACCTGGACTTATTAATTTCACAATATTAAGTTTGAAATGCACCAACCTGCCTTGAGCAAGCGTGGTAATTAATGCTCAAACCTTCTCCATGTGAGAGATAGGCTGATGACGATAATATTGTGATTCTACTTAATCAAAGGAGTTATTTGATTCAAAATAATTATATACTAATACAAATAATAATCTCTAAGAATTTCGCAGGTTTTATTTATTTAAATAATCCTAGTAATTTTAAGATATATGTACTACGCGTGCTTTATTTTTATAAAAACTACATACTCCCGACGTTTCGGTTACTTTCCAGCAACCGTGATCACGGGCAGACGAGATGTGAATTTAGTTGGTTTTGTTATTTATTATCTACTGCCATCGATTTATTAATTTTCTGGCGTACTTCTCTGATTTTTTTTTACAGAAATAAAGCACGCGTAGTATAACCGAAAAGTATTAGTTTCATTTATATAGTAATAAAAATTGTGTAAACTCCGAGCAGAACAAACATATCTTTTACATATATGTAATTATTGTTTAGTCTCTAAAGTAATCATCAAATAAGTGAATGTAATCTCACAAATGACTTAAGATTTGTTTCTTTATCGTTTACTTGTTTACAGTTTTAATCTAACAACTTCTACACATGCAACTCGTCTTATATATAATAACTATATTCATATACATAATAAATAGAATAAATATCGCCGAGTTTATATTAGGTATTACTTTATAAACAAATAGATAACCATATTTAAGTGAGAAAAAAAAATTGCGGCGTAATGTTATAATATACTTATCTACAAACCACACGGTATAATCCTGATGGTCATTATTCATTTACTGGTAGAAAGTACTGGCATCACACCCATTTTCCTAAAGATAATAACGATTGATGTATATGAGACTAGTATACAGGGTGACTGGTGAATTACTATCGATATTTGAGGACGTGATATTTGACGATCATATATGACGAAATAAACATTAATATAACATAAATATTAATAAACTTCTAAGTAAAGTTAACCAAAAGTTATGTAATTAATTACGCATCGTGTGAACACCCTACAGATTAGGTATACACTGACACTCACACATACGCGTGTCGTGACGTAGTGTTGTATCAGCACGCCGCCGCACGCGTCCACACTTGAACACTTGGAACGTGTCAACACTTTACTTATTTATACGGAAATTTTGTCAAAAATTAAGTGCCTATTTTTTTTACATAATTCGAATGAGAATCATGTACCGAGTACTCTCCTTAAATATTGATAGTAATTCACCAGTCACCCTGTATAACTATATACTGGCTAGTGTAATACATAATTTAGCTAATATTATATGACGTCTTGTGGTTCAAATATCTCTATATTATACCTTAGATTTCTTCGTATCTATGAATTAAATCTTGTTTTTTCTTTTACTCACGTATTTCCTGAATTTTAACGTCATTTATTGAAAATAAATTTTAAAGCATGATATCAATATTCACCAGTTAAAACTGAAATAGAGTTTTTTTTTCGAAGTGTTAATAATAATTATGAAGTGATTTCACGTTCCATAAGAAAAATTGTTTGTTACTGGGCATATTTTTTATCTGACTAAAATGGATATCTAAACTCATGTTGAAATAAAACTAATATTTTTCGGATGTAGTTTATAATTATTATCAACATTTTAGACGAGATCTCGTCTACGCGTGTTCACGGTTGCTGCAAAGTAACTGAAAGTATGTAGTATAAATTTACAGTCGTATAACTGGTTTAAGTCTACGTTTCCAGCTGGGTGTTGCCCTGGGATTCCTCCTCCCTCCCATGTTGGTGAGGTCCACGGGAACTCCTGAGGAGATCGGAGCAGACCTCCAGATTATGTTCTACTTGGTGGCGGGAGCGACCAGCGTCCTTTTTGTGTTCATCGTGCTATGTGAGTTAACTATCCTTTTTTTTTAAGGGGAAAATCATCAAATGACCCCTCTTGCCTGGGTGGGGCAAGAGGGAGTGTCAGACTCTTACTGACTAAAAACCCCCCGTACCTACTCCTGCTCCGAGCCTGGCGCGGTACATTATTGCGCTTACACCCGCGTCCTGGCCAGGGAGTTAACTATCCCGAGATATGATTTTTGTAACACCATAAATTTGTGGGTTGTTGGACAAAATGTTTTCGCATATAATACCAAAACCAAATTAAGCAGTCGCAAGGGTTTTAGGAAATTTTGTTGAAGGGCTTCTAGTCTTAATATTTACGTATAAGAGAACTTATGTAGAACTTCAGGAAAAATTATATTTCACGTTTTTGTGACATCAAGTCATTATGCTTTATTAAATACACTTATTCAGTTTATTTTCCTAAGAAACAAGTTAAAGATTAGTGGATTAGATATGTGTTATCCGTAGGAAATACTACTCTTGGTACCTAACAATTTCAGGCATATTGTTAATCTGGCACTGTCGAACAGATACTCACATACATAATATGCCAATGATAATTATATTTTTTTTTGTATCAACAACTAACTAATTGAATTTAATTTATATGTTCCTATTTATTCATTACTCTTGAATTGTACCTAAATAATGTAGCACCTGACAAAAATATTGAATATAATCAAGCTAAAAATAATTTTAGACTGTAACTCAAATATAATCCGGATTGTATTGTTTGTGTACCTATATGAATAAATATATCAATGATTCTACTGTTTCTTTATACATTTTTCGCCCTCAGTCTTCAAGTCTGCTCCCCCCACGCCCCCTTCAGCGGCGGCCGACCTCGGCTCCAGCCTGGACTCCAACTTCCTCCAGTCCATCAAGAAGCTCCTCACCAATCGTAACTACATCCTGCTGCTCATCTCGTACGGCCTCAACGTTGGCGTGTTCTACGCCATCTCCACACTCCTCAACGAACTCGTCCTTACATACTATCCAGTAAGTTTACACAACTTAACGATTCGAAAACATTCATATTTCTAACTATCTTTCCACCAGCTTCGCCCGCGTGGAGTTCGGTTATATCGCATTTCCAAGAGAACTTTTCAAAAGTCTGCGATAAAAACTATCCTATGTTCTTTCTCAGGGTCAACTCTATGTCTGTACCAAATTTCATTAAAATCAGTTCAGTGGTTTAGACGTGAAAGCGTAACAGATAGACAGACAGTTACTTTCGCATTTATAATATTAGTAGGGAAGTAGGGATAAGTTTTCTAAATTCTTTTTACATTTTTTTTTTACTGCAAATACAATTTGCCATAATATAAATGACCTTCAAATACTTGGCTGACAAATTATTCCTGATTTGAAATCTCCTTACATTTAAAACTGTTACATTAAACGTCGATCTGGGAATCCAAATAGTAGATCAATCAGAATTAATACCAGGAGTAGGGGATATTTTAATGCTACTTACTGCAGTCGACACAATATATTCATATACCTTTGATAACAGCTGCAAAAATTATTAATTAAATCTGAAAAAAAGAATAAAATCATGTGCGGTAAATCACGTTGAGTATAAGAAGACAGGTTTACTAGACATTATCCTCCATTGATGATTCTATTATTACATGTGTGTATGTATGAATATGTGTATGTATAAATGATAATTATTATTATTTAATATACATTTACCGTTTATAACATGTGACACCACCCTTCCCTAAAATCACGACTGTGTTTTTAGAAACATAGCGATAAGACAGCCCTATTGTGCAACTACTTTTATTTTGTATATATTTCACTTTTATTGTTAAATTACTATGCTATTGTGGTGTACAATAAAGTATATTATTATTATTATTATTATTATTACATTAACCGTAACTATTATTCCAGGGTGCCAATGAGGATGCTGGTCGTATAGGTCTAGTTATAGTGGTGGCCGGAATGGTTGGGTCGGTCGTGTGTGGCCTTGTACTGGACAAGACCCACCGCTTCAAAGAGACCACGCTTGCGGTGTACGCGGCCTCAGTCATCGGTATGCTGATTTTCACCTTCACGTTGGACTGTGGATACATCGCTGTCGTCTACTTCAGCAGCATTGTGCTCGGGTATGTTAAAACAGACCTATATAGAGGTAATACGGGAAAATAGCACTTAATATTCATAATCATAGATTTCATAATCAGATCTAAGACTTTCGCGAGTTTTCATTTAATGAAACTAATATTATATGGGTTACTACGCGTATTTTATTATTTTTAAGAACTTTATACTCCCGACGTTTCAGTTACTTTATATCAACAGATGTGAATGTCTCTCGGTTGGTTGTTACTTTAATAAAATCGAGTACATAGTAATCCTAATAATATTAGTTTCATTCATAGATTTCCTGTTAATAATGAGTTTTGTAGACTTATTTAATTCCTCTGGAACCGAAAATCAATTGTGCTGCTTGAATTTTGTTATGAATACAGCAATGGTATAGGTATGTTGAATTTGTACTGGTAACTTAATGTCCCATCCTGCAAATAAATATAATGTCCCATAAGCAATAAATTTTTACAAAAATATTGTTTGTTGTCAGATTCTTCATGGCTGGTTATCTACCAGTCGGCTTCGAGTTCGCCTCGGAAGTCACATACCCTGAGCCCGAGGGCACTACATCTGGGATACTCAATGCTTGTGTTCAGGTAAACTAACATTACTCTTTAATAAAACAAAAAACTACAAGATTCAGTTGGACCACTTAAATCACCTCTAGATATGGTACAAAAGAAATTTACAGTGAAAAAGAAGTACTTTTATATATGTATACAGTATGTAGGTATTATGAATATTTTATTTTCTGTTATTCTGCTTCTTATTTGTTACTGTAATACAATTTTTTAACTAGTACACGGCACAGAAGACCTTTCCACAAACATATTATAATGGAGTACTTAAGACAGTGGAAAAATAATTGTAACATTTATTTCTTCCAGTCCAATGAAATATCATTATTATTATTTTTCTATATATTTTTCATCTCTAATATTATCTTTCTGTTTTATTTCCAGGTGTTTGGTATAGTCCTGACTCTGTTATTTGAGTGGATGCTGGGTGCAGCCGGAGACCGCTGGGCCAACCTGTGTCTGTGTGGTCTTTTAGCGCTCGGTACAGCTGTCACGGCGGCTATCAGGTCTGATCTTCGACGACAGGCCGCTCAGAACAAGGCCTAGATACAACTATTTATACCACTCCCCAATTTTAGAACATACTAATTGATGAAAATAAAATTGCCCATGAAATCATGAAATTCACAGAATATATAGAAAAATACTATCAAATAGATTGTCTAAAATATCTCCCTACTGTGTTTTGAAATTGGGCAGCCTTAATGCCATAATACAACCCAAATACTGACGACCACTGACTAAATGAAATTCAATCATATATCTGATATTTAAGGTTGATTTCTGATTGTTTACTTTCACTGCCGTTCCTTATATAACTGACATCAAAGCATTGCAAAATATTTATTGATTTTTGTGGATTAACATTTTATTCTTGTTAATAAACAATTCAATATTTTCTTATCAGTTTAATAATAAAATTAATGCACCAATGACAATACTTCCATATTCATACAACGATTTTTTCTTTAAACCAAAGAAATTGTCACATTTAAGTTTTATTTACTGAAAAAATTTGGAGATATACAGAAATTCATCTTATTTAGAAATATATATATTATGTGAGAACATATCAGTCACAGAAATCATATGGCTATAGTTAAATCTCATTTCATATATGTTTATTTCTGGTTGGAATCTTAACAGCATTTAGTTTTGATAAATTAAACTTAATGTCACAATACTGACATTTTAAACTACATCAAGAAGAAATATGGTCATATCAAAAAAAACATTGTTAATTTTAACATAAAATAAGCATACATCCAATAGATTCTGCATTTATATCACATAATAATATTTTATTATACATATATGTATTTATAAGTCGTTTGAAAATGTAATCTCTAGTGTTAAAATATTTCAGTGTAACAATTAGCTTTCAGCATTAATATATATCGAAAATCAAATATTATTAAGGGCATTCTATATGTTGAATATTTTAGATATAATTACCTCATAGTACTAGTGTGATCTATTAACGCGACAATAATTCAGTGTCTACGTACAGAGGTTTGTCTAGAACTAATATGATAGTCTAGATTCTAGAAATAAATAGCATTTTATTATAAAACACTGCATATATACAATTATATTTTGAAATGATTTTTCGTCACGTATTGACGTTGACGTATTGTAATGAAATCTCTTAGCAGTGTTGCCAGTGGGCTTTTATATTCCATATAATAGTTTTTAAGCGTTCAAGGGGCTTGTAATACGGTATTATTAATTTTAATGATATACCTATATTGATTATTATGCTGATATATGTTCCTTTTAAAGGCTTGTGAATTGTGTGTATTTCATTGTGAGTGTTAATTAAGTTTTTGTTGTAAGTTATAAAAGTATTATGTTGATGGTTGTGTTACGATTTCTTGATTACATTTTTTGACACATATATTTATTCCTTATTTAAGATATAGTTACAAAAATTGTTTTTGTTTACATATTTTTTAAAATAAGACGTCATTATTCTGATTATATAATAAAATGTGTGAAACGTATAATTCATAAGGTAAATGACAATAAACACAAATGTATTTGCATGTTAGAAGGTATATGCTGTTTAGTATTAGAACGTAATTTATAGTATACAATACGATATTTGGAACAGAAAAGTATACAAAAATGCTAAGTTTCAAGATTAGACAAAATTTACAATAAAAAATCTGTTATCGATATACGATTTTGACGTACAATGAATACAATAAAAATATTTCTTTTTTTCTTTGGACGAATCTAAATTGTATGACGTTATACTGCTTTTAAATTCTAAGAAGCTTCTAGCATCGATGTTACAGAATTGTTTACTTAATAAAATTAAAAAAAGCAATTTAGTTTTATTTTAGTTATTAAACTTCGAATAGATAAGGATTTATATTTATTACTTTTTGAAAGGTTCAAGAGCTTTTTAAGAATAATTACAGTTTTACTTATTCCCTTAACCCGGTTTCCAAAACTCACCAAAAACTTGGATCTGTTCAAATAAAGCAATGGTCTCCTAGGGCTGATGTATATCTAAAAGGAATTTTGTGCAACTGTTTTCTGTTAAAAAAGACAACATCACGTTTATTTGAATTGGAGTTTTTTTATTTCATCTTTTATACTTGAATAACAAGTAACGCTATCTTGTGTAAAGAAAGGCTTTTTGTGTTATTAGTTGCCTTCATTTTTAAGCTATTTTATTGGTTATACACAAAATGGTTACCCACAAAATGCTAGTTTAAAGCTAATAGACTTTCCATTACTTCATTTTTAGGATTATAAATAATAGAAGTAACAAATGGAAAATAATTTTCAATTACAAAGAAATTACGTTACAGTAGTAGAAGGTCAAATAATAATTCATAGTTAATCAACTCAAAACAAATAATAATAAAATTTAAGTTATTAACAGAATAATTTAATTCAGAGTAAAAAGTGTTGAATGCTTATTATTGAATGTTACAATCATTCTAGTTGCATCTACCTAAAAGAGGAAAGATATGAAATAAAGTTAAATGCACCTTAACTTGTAATATACTGAAATTCTAAGAGATTGCAGGTGCAGATGTGATAATAATCAGTAAAGAAACTACTTCAAAATTTTGAGACATAATCGGTAACATGGATCCTAGAATATAAATTTACAAAACAGTTGGGACGGATTGAATGCGAAGTGAACTGATGACAGTTCCGTCATCTTAAACACGACGAGTGTGTTATCACTTTCAGATTTGAAACATGGTGTAGAATTGTATTTTATTTTATTTATCATCAGAAGCAAATTCTGTAAATATGGGTTGAAACTACGGTAGTAAAACTTTTTATTCATTTACTTTTTTTTCACACCAATGAACCTGATGATAGATGAATTGATATCAAACAACATAATTATGTTTATTCGTTAGAATAATTAACAATTCAATGATTTTTGTTCGGATAAAGAAAACTCCTAAAACTTTATATTTCTACATTCTACTTATTGAACTTCTATAGTTCACTTTATTTTTTATAAAAAATATGAATTGGTAAAGATGGTTTTAAGTTTTAATTTATTATTTCTTCGATAATTAAACTAGAATAATAAAGAAGGGGAAATCTTAATAAAATATCAAATATTTTCATATTATTATTAATTACAATTAAATATATGTCCGAAAATCTCCAAAAGTTCCATCTGTGAGTTGACTTGATGTGTCTATGATATTTGTTAAATTGTTGTCATTTTGTCTGTTGCAGGTTGCTATGGCGGCAGATTTGTATTTGACGTATAGCTTAAGATAAAATATTTTTATTTTGAAACCAAGAGAAAATTATGTAGAGTGCTGGGAGTGATCCAAATAACAATATTTCGAACAAATTTGTCCAGTTAGTGTTATCATGAGTGATGGCAAGGGGCATCTTTCTTGCAAGAGCCACACAGCCAGAAATGAAAAGGGTAAGTTTTCAACTTTTATTACCAGAAGTTTTTAGAAGGTCTTAGAATTTTTGTATTGAACTTATATAAAATAATAATAGAATTAAGACTAATTAAGTCTTACTATTTTAACTTGATATTAAATACATATATTTATTCCTTTCAACTTTTTTATATTGTAAACAACTATGAATACAGTTAAAATTGGTTACCATTTTTTATTTATAGATATATATAGAATATGCCCATCCAAAATAAGTAAACGAGAATTGGAAGATTTGTACTTTGCATTATTAGAACAAAATGTACAGTTGAAGAAGACAATTAATGATCAAAAAGACCAAATCAAGATATTGAATACCAGATTACAGAGAGTGACTGCTCAGAAGCCAGGGTCTGGAGCGTATAATAAAGACTTCAATGTGGCTGGTAAAGGAATTATAAATGAACAAAAAGAATGGTAAACAAATATCTTCTGCTTTGTGTAATTTAGCAATATCTGTTTTATCTAATTTAAAAGTTAACTCTTCATGTAACAAAGAATAGATTTTTAATATGTTTCTTATGGAATCAATGGTAAAAATAACAAATGATTATTATATTATTTTATTTCTCAACAAATTAAACAATGATTAGCTATTAAATGAAAGAAATATAAATAAAATCACTAAATTCAGTATAGCAGATTTGAAGAAAGATAATGAGCGTCTATCAGAGCGTGTCCGCTTACTGAACATGCGTCTCTGCTCCGCCAAGCAGTTCCTCAGACGGAGTCCTTCTCAATCCGCTTCCCGATGTGTCCGATGTAACATACAGGATATATCAACTAAGTAAGACGCAGAATTATTGTATATCTTAAGTGTTTTTTCATACTTAGACAATAATGCTCAAGTGTTATGTTTATTTCTTATTTTTAGGAACTTATCAACAAGTGCACTAAATAGCAAGAGAAGCGAGGGTAACTTGAAAACTGAAATTTCAACATCACAGCTTGTTAAGTTAGTCAATATTTTAATTAATCAGATATAATTATAATTTTTACTTCATTTTTATTATAATATTCAATATTAAGATCTTTTGTATATAAAACAAATATGTATTTATTAAGTGTGTATTAATTAAACTTATTATTCAAGGGACAATAGCCCATTACAATTGCCTGAAATAACTTCAAGTCAAGCTGAAATGTATGTATATATTATTGTTCATGATTTTTTCACCACATATGTTTATTTTTTAATATAAATGTTTTTCATCAGACCAGTTCAAGATAAACCCTGTCAAAGGAATGAGTGCAGAGTTGAAATGGATGAATTGAAAAAGAAAATTGCTTCCTTGGAGAATGTAATTAATATTTATTATATAGTAATTATATATAAGATTTATAAAAAAAATTAACATATTGGAATATTCATGAAACACTCATGTGTTAATTTGTTGCAGTAAAATATATTATATATGGATGTATGTATGAATTAAATTGATTTTAAACGATTTTTCTAAAATATTTTTTAAAGTCATTGATTTAAGTAATTTAAGCACTATATGTATACTTAAAGCACCACTCAGCTTACTTGTCGAACCGCTTGCCACATTTTTTTACAATATTCATATTGAAATCCATTTGTAGTGCCTCCAGTGGTAGTCTCAAGTGACCATCAATAAGAAAGTGTAATGCTTCTATATTGAATACAGTTGTTTGAGTTTGAGTATATGTTTCTGTTTCATGTTATAGGAAATGTCTTCCCTTCAAACATCCTGGTCATCCCGTGCCGACGAGCTACAGTCACTACTGTCTACGGCCCGGGCGGAACATGCAAATTGTCCAGATAGATTGGCAGCACTCACCACAGACCTTGGGGGCACTCGGACATTAGCAGGTAAAGTAGGAAGAAAAACATGTATTACTAGAAGTGACTGGTCTGTGATTATTCCTAGAAAGTTTTACTTATTATTGAATTTTAGTTTCATAACCGCAGCTTTTTTGTATAGTAATAATATTAGACTTCGTAGACTACAAGTTTAAGTAATATTTTATTTCGGTTTTCATCTCGTCTATTGATCATGTTTACTAATATATAATGTAGAACAATAAATATATTGTAGAACAATAAGTTAATACAGAAAAATAATGTTTAATTGACTAATCGACATATCATTTGCTTTTAAACAGCACTGGAAAATTCTTAATACATACTGCAACAGAAAGTTAGTGTCATAGTAAAGTGATCCTTATGTAATAAAGTAAAAGTTTACTTTCATTTGACTACCATTTGTTCCAGACGATCTGACCAGTCAGTTACAGTTGGAACGTGCTCGTGTTGGTGAGCTTGAAGCGCAGCTAAGGGCTTCTCGGCTTGACTACAACATGGCGCTGGCTGCCGAGGGTCTAGTAAGGAGGCTTTTTTATGTAAAAGATGGCAAATGAGCAGAAAGCCTTTTTTTTTTTGATGTCCCAGGGAAACTCTTTTTACGAGCCGTCCATCCGGCCTTGGTGGGATGAAGGATGTGTGAGACTCGGCCTGGGCAGGTCCCTACTTACTAAAACCACTGCGAAAGCAGGGTTGAGGGCCCCGAAATGTACCAAGTGGCAGGACTAGTTTTTTTAATGTGAAAGGTGGCAAATTAGCAGACGGCCTACTTGATGGGCAGTAGTTACCGTCATAAACATCTATGTTGCAAATGCGTTGCCAACCTAAGTTGTTGAGGAAAAGCGAGGGGTATTAATAAGGAAATGGTAGAAAAGGGCATACTACTCTCTCACTCAAAGACTACTTCACGTCGATCTTCTGTGAGAGCGTGGTACTGCCCCGGTCGAGTCAGCCCATGCTATATGGGCTAGCTCGACCGATATATAGCTATGCTTTACCACCTTTTAGAACTGATCTACATACAGATCGTCTTAGAATAGTTGACCTACTTCTGATAGGATTCCCATGAATGTGTGTGTATATATAGTACCTTATTTGGTAAGCGTGAAATAACAAGACTATAATAGCAAGAGTCCGTTCAATTGACTGTTTATCACAGTACTGTATAATAAAATCAAATGGCATAGTATTCATGCTCAGCACAAATGACAACTTGGAGTACTGTGATGTGCAATAATTAATGGACCTTGGAAGCGTTTGCTGTTTAGTATATTGTGTTTTATGTTTTTGTATTATTTTTCTTGCAGAAAAACCAAACACACAAACTCAGCGACGTCAGTAAGGTCAACCCGCCAGTCACCGTGCCTTCCGACTGGGAGGATAGTCCACCAGTGAATTATTTTTTATTATTATTTTTTTACTATATATTCACTTCGTTTTTTTTTCAAATTATAAAATACTAGATTTCCGCCCGCAGTTTCGCCCGCGTGGAGTTCGGTTATATCGCGTTTCCAAGAGAACCTTTAAAAAGTCTCGGATAAAAACTATCCTGTTATTTCTCAAGGTCAACTCTATCTCTCTACCAAATTTCATTAAAATCAGTTCAGTGGTTTAGGCGTGAAAGCATAATAAACAGACAGACAGAGTTACTTTCGCATTTATAATATTAGTAGGGATTATCCAACTTATGATTTGATTTACTAGTATGTATAATTGTGATCATTTTATACACTGTCTTTGTTAATTTGATATTTTTTTATACAGATAGTGGTGCCAAACAATTCTGGAATATCGGTGGTAGCCGAAGAGAATGTGAACGAACAAAATCAAGAGCCGGCTTACAGCGAGAACAAACACAAAAACCATAAAAACGAAAGAGCAGTGGTGAGGGGAAATATTGTAATATATAATTATATACATATAATATAATTCCTCTTCCAATATGTTTAGGCTCTTCAAACACAAGGTGAATATATTCTCACACAAATAGCGAGTCTTCAGTCTCAATTGGACGGGTTGAAGCTTACCATTGTGAGTAATACGATTAAGTTATTAATAAAGTTTTATATATAATAATGTGCTAACAGACAACTTATATAGGGTTTATGGTGGTCTGGAGGAATTAAAACAAGAAAATAGTCATATATTGTATTGTTTTGTATGATCAGGGCGAGCGTCCTCCCGAGTCGTTGGCCGCGGACTCCAGCCTCAGTCACGATATCTTCAGCACCTTGAGGTTCAAGACGGTCGCCGATATTGACAAGTAAGCACATACGATATTTACACTTCATATTTATTGACATGGGATGAGTTTAAAGTGTATCTTGTGTCATAGACCACCGGGGCCCTCGCGGCACGACGATGCTCTCGTGTCCAAAGAATTTATAAGAGATGAAGAAGGACAGCTGGTCTCACAGCAACAGGTTCAGGAGGAACCCAAATATGAAAACGATTTCAAGTATCAAGTACCCGGACCTTTATCGTTGGACATGCCGAGAACTTCTCTGTCCGAAGTGACGGATATAAAAGTCAACAATGAGTCGAAAAACAGAAACTCGGAGGGCAGCAGAGGTAGTAAGGGCAGTGTGAGGATCAATCTGGACAACATCACGACCTTGAAGAACGGAGACGGCCAGGCGGTTCAAGATATTAACCAAAACGCTCAAGAAGATGTGTTTAAGAAGTTCAGACGATCGAGCTTCAGGTTTCCCACAGATAGGAAGCAGAGTAAAGACTTAGCTGTGCGGTACGGACAGACGCAGACTTACGGCAGCCACGAAGATAACAGGGAGGACGCGAAGAAGGTCTCTATAGGAACTAACACCGAGCGATGTGAAGGACCCGCCTACCACGACCTGGAGCATCGGGAACACGACGAACAGGTAGCTACAAGGAAGATACGGTACATGAGTGAAGAAAATACGAAGGATGATGAGAAACCTGGAACCAGTGTTGGTTCTAACGAGACGAGGGAAAACGACGTTCAGAGAGGCAGCGGAGAGAGGAACCAGCGAACACATAGTGTGGGGATACAGTGTGAGAACCCGAACCACGTAAGAGAATCACGAGACGTGACCTTACACACGTGCTCTGCAAAAAATGAATTTCCAGAACCAACAGCAGATGAAGCAAATTATATCCGTGAGTTGTCATTTTTTTGATGTAATTTGTATCAGAAACAGAAGTATAATTATAGTTTTTTTGGTAGAACTCTGTGCTGGTCACGCGGTCATATGTCCCTGTCCTGCGCTGGCTCCTTCGCCCCACTCAGTGAGGACCTGTACCGGCGGACTGGTCACCGCGCCCCCTAATATACTGAGGTTCTGTCACTGTGGGGAACGAGTTAATAAACATAGTAAGTGGATTTATATACATTGTCTAAAAATCACATACTATTTAGTTTCTTTATACTAGTTAATTTATTAACTCCTGTCAAAATTGCAATAGAAAAATCACTGTACACCGAGATTGCTCATATTTATTAATATTTCTGTACTTATTTTATGTGTACCGACACAGTTTCTTTTTGTTACTTTTTCTCTTGATATTACGCCCTTATAGTGATTATACTGATCTTATACTTAATTCCGCTTTTTATTAAATACACCTGATATTCATTGACATACATAAAAAAATGATTGAACAGTTGTGGCAAGATAGACAGGTCACCTGACTTGTTAAATATTAGTACTGATGAAGCAATCAGTATATGCCTTGCTTACTGTGGGATGAAGATGAAGTAGATATATTTGGTGTATGATTAGTGTAGGGCTATCCACACTTGATAGGGTCGAAGGCCAGTAGAAATTACGAAACACATTGCGGAGCCGCTTTATATTTTTTTGCCTTTTATTTAATATATTTACAATTCAAATACTAATATTGGTAGTAACTAGCTGCAGTGCGTGCTTAAATGAGGCGTCTGTTAATAAACTGTGTATATATTTTACGTTACATTATTCATTACCAATATCCAAGTACTCAAGCGCGAACAGTGATTACAAAAGAATTATATTATAATATTAATAATCTGGTGGTAATTGGTTTAAGCCATGCTTTGGATAGCTTTGGTGTAGTATAATGTGTATCTATATGATGGATACGTACAAAAGTAAATTTAATGGCTGTGGAAAGATAGAAGATGCCTAGAGCTTTAAAAGATTAATAATTTCAATAAGCAACACAAGAAAATCTCCAAATAATTTCCATTGCAGCTCCCTGTATATCTTCTGTGACACCGGACGCTCCCAGGCCGTCTACAGCGTCCCCTACCACGTGTCCGTACGGAGAGAATGTTAACATATCAGGGTCATCTTCACCGGACACTACGGAGCCAGGGGTTACCTGCGACCTGGACACACACAGAACTGACGGTATACATATATTACAATACAAAAACATTGATATTTAATGAAATTAGCTTGATGGTATATCCCTATTAATATTATAAATTCAAAAGTAACTCTGTCTGTCTGTTACGCTTTCACGCCTAAACCAATGAATTGATTTTAATGAAATTTGGTACAGAGTAAGAGTTGACCTTGAGAAAGAACATAGAATAGTTTATATCCCAGACTTTTGAAAGGTTCTCTTGGAAACGCGATATAACCGAACTCCACGCGGGCAAACCTGCGGGCGGAAAGCTAGTAGGATAATAAATATTTTGCATTCTTTTTCGTTTCGCAAAACGCGACTAGTGGAGTAATCTATAAAAGTTATTGTTAATATGAAAAAATAATGGAAAATGTATGTTTCAGAGACCGGTCCGACAGACTACATCTCCCCGGGCGAAGAAAAGGCTACTTCAACACTGAGCGAGTCATACGTGACTACGGACTATGGATCATTGAGCGAGGGAGAGGTGCCCGCTGGAGGAGGTAACGATCATTACTCATATTCATATATATATATATATATATGTAGAACAAACACGAAATATATCACGAACACAATAATATTAAAAAAGAAATAAGAAACATACATCCTAACCCGTAATTATATGTTAAAAACACACACACACACACACACTTTTGTATTTAACGCCATTTGCTTTGCTTTTTTTTCTTTTTATCCTTAATCGTACGCTCGAGTTTAACTGTAGAACTGCAAGTGTAATCCTAAATAAGCCTTGTTTATATATATTGTACTATAAAATTACTGTAACGCTATTAGAATACCAATAAAAAAAAAATAAAAATAATATTCGATCACAGGTAAGAGGTTGTCGGCTACGGAAGATAAAATGTTGGAAGCTATTGGGTGAGAATGATGAATACTTAACGTTTATGAGGTTAGTATGGTTATTATCATCGCTAACTGGAATCCACCAGCTCCCGTTCAGATAAAATGGAGGAGGCGTTGCGAGCTATCAGCGAGGAGCTCACACGCTGCAGGGAGCTGCTGCAGGGGAGGGGCGCCGCGGTGAGAGGGGGCAGGGGGGGACGTACTACTAAATAGATAGAGATGACTGAATGTGCGAGTGAGATGCAGTGTGTTCAATAAGGCTGTTCTCTTACATTGCTCTTGATATCATGGCACTGTAAATTTTTTGAACACTCCGTGGACTTGACCATCAATGAGTCCTTGCCAAAGTAACTTCATTTAAATTTTATGACATGCGAGTAGCTAAATCCATTATATTATATACTACCTTAGTGTTAGTACATTTTGTATGTATATTATGATCATCTGTAGTGAAACTGGATTTGCTATGTATTATTTATTATTAAACGGTCGAAGTTCCTATATATACTGTATATATAAAAATAGATCAATTATACATAAAAATAAAAATTGTAATACTGTTTGTGGTTTTATTCAATACTTCCAAGTGTTACCATTTGTGTATGGTAGTATGTCATCTGTACGTATCACCTAAGTAGATCCTTTTCGCATGACAAAGAAGCGACACCATTTTTCATTAGCTCACCAAAGAATTGGGACAGTGTCTTTATTGACATGACTCAAGAGATTAAGACCTCAACATGATCATTAAGTACTCTCCAGTAAGTATTGAAGAAAAGATCTAAGATTTTCGCGAGTACTCAATTAAATGAAACTAATATTTTTCGGATTTTACTTCGCATTTTATTTTGGATAACTACATACTCCCGACGTTTCGGCTACTTATCAGCAACCGTGATCACGGTTTTTTCTTTTCTTCAATAAATGAAACTAATATTTTTCGGATTTTACTTCGCGTTTTATTTTGGGCTACTTTTCAAAGTAAAAAAAGTAGCCCAAAATAAAACGCGAAGTAAAATCCGAAAAATATTAGTTTCATTTATTGAAGAAAAGACTTCGAGAAGTTCAAATTCGGTTCACATATTGATACTCAAAAAGTATAAAACCTTGAAAGGAAGTGGACGTAGCTAAGTGACGCCTGTGTACCCAATAAAGTTTATATGTATATTCAGGGATATTTCCATGATAAACTGGGTGATGATCAGTGGTGGTTACGGCTTTGGACAAGATATTCTGAATATTAATGTAACTAAAGATAATTCTGCCTCAACTTGATATTAACGAAAGACGAGAGACATTTAATAGGTGTGATGGTACTGTTCTTCAAGGATTGCCAATACCTTATAACAAAACTTCCGACCAGGGATCTTGGGTCCGTCTAAAAGTTGTTCTATAGAGTTGAAATGCGATTTGTCTAAAAATGGGCTCTAAAAACCATTTAAACAGGGTAAATTTCAAACAGTTTTCAGTCTATAGACCAGTCACACATTCAGGTAAATAATACCAAAGATCCAGGATGGAATGACCTTTTAAGCCTATATTTTATAATCTATACCTACGATATCTATCGTATATCGATAATTATCGCACAAAATTCTACATTTTAATAAAATCTTTAAGGATAAAGTGAAAGAAGGAAATGTAACAGAATTCAGCGGACTTTGTGAGTAATTCTGTGACAAACTATGACAAAATCATAAAAAAAAGAAACCGTAAAAGAAAGTTGGGATAAAATAAAAGACCTTTTTACTTATTAATTTATTAGTTTTTGTGTTGGACTTCGTGTGCCTGAAATTTGAATTAGAGAGTCAGAATTACTCAGAGAGTATAGAGTGTATTTAAATAATAAATTGGATCTGAACATAAATTCCTACATAATACAACTATTATGGAATGATCTACATTCTACACAGAGTCTTCAAGTCCATAAGTATGAAGTTTAATCAAGATCCGTTTTATAGTTTTCGCATGAAAGAGAAACAATCACACATTCGTCCATATAATGATGTATCCAGACGCTCTTACAAACTTTATAATATTACTGGAATACCTATGTGTTATAAAAATTCTTCATTGAAAATATAAGTTCAGACTAATTCTTATTTAAGCAGTTGTTTTAAATTATTTATCACAATAACTATACCTGTTGGCATCTCACAGATTTTCCCGGTAGATCAGTGTCATATGTAGATGATATAAAACGTTAATATTACGTTCATTAGCTTGGTTTCTCTAAAAGTTTATGTTATTCACTGGTTTGATACTTCTCGATTATTAAGTTAAAGTTCTGTAATTTGAACGGGAATAATTTGTATTCCCCAGCCCTCCCAGAAAACCTCTCGGGAAGTGTCAATGATGACCGAAGATGCTGTACCCATAGCACTGAAAAGAGCTGATGCCAAGTTACGTATACGGGATTCGTATACACCGAAGTGCATATTCACTCTGCATGTTGGGACTGTTGTACTATCAGACCAGGTGGGTTATGTTAGACAATGTGATAGGAATACATCAGGGTAGTATTTTCAAATGCCATTACTCTTGCAAACACTAGGCGGTGCTGCTCTCTCACGACAAGTCATTATTGCTGACTTGGCGCTTCTACAATCAGACCCCATCTATGACTCGTCTACTAGCCGGACGCGTTATGAATTTTGACTTCTCAACAGAATATGATCTCAAGATAACCGAACACTTCCTTTACTACTTAAAACATGTGAGTTCGAAAACAATATACCTATTGGATAAATAACAGATATATATCATTATATTTATTTATATTTGTAAGTGTTGTTCATGAATATTGTTTCCTTTAAATATAGTCAGTAACCGCGATGTATGCGGCTGCCAAAGAATGGTGGCAATATCCCATTTCTACAGTTCATAGTGTGATGAGTATTGACCTAATTATAGCAACGATAATGCCAAATACCCACTGTCTGCCAATTAAATTTGAGACAGTAATTAAACTGTGATGTGTCGTGATATTTAGCAGTTTTTTCTACTTACTTATAATTTAGAATTTGCTTTATCCGTCACTATAAATCTATTAATAATAATTAACAATTCTTTGCATGATATAAAGTCTGTAATACCTATACCTATAGCTTTTCGATCGGATCCATTAATCTACTTTTTCTTGATTATATTTTTATTTATACTAGCAATCTATTTTCTTCTCATAATAATTTATTAGGAAGAGATGCCGATAACAATATCAGAGATGGACAAACAGGACGAGGCGTTCGCCATCTGTTCCCTGCCGTTGAGGGATGCTCTGCTTCATCCAAACAGAAGAGTTGATATGTCACTCGCTCTGGTACATGCCCCAATTGACAATTCCTACACACTAGAAAACTTACTTATAATTACACCATTTCTCGATTGAAGTATTTTGCCCCTCCAGTTGCCTATACTCAAATATAATCACGTTTTTTCATTAGACACACAAATAGGAATTTCATAAAAGTAATCTGTGGAATGTAGTACTCATATAGTGGAAATTTCAAAACTGTTCCCACGATAATTGTCTACGTAAACCTCGTCACACATTTACACTTACCATTCTGGTGGTAGGTGGCAGGCAGACAGATGACCAGAGAGCGTGGCTCCGCTGACTGTGAGGAGGCCGGAGTTTTAGATGTGTGGTGCATGCTCAGGGTCGACCCTAGCGCTCTGCCCGCCATCAACACGGCCATCATCAGGGTACGATCGAGTTAAACAATAAATACGAATGAACATTATTTTTAGACGCGACTCGCGTGACACGTGGCAAATATGACAAATGCTTCAGTTATTTAAAACAATGTTTATTTATATGCGCCCTCTACGGCTTTACGTTTCATTGCTTACAATATTACTATAAGATTAATGATTTTTAAGTATTTTTTAACCTTCTCTATTCTAGTTTTTGTTTTAAATAATACATACGGCCGTAACAGTTACCGTAGCCTATAGAGCCCTGCAAAATATATATTGGGTTCGTAATAAATGGAATAAACCGTATTGGCTGGGCTTCGTATCTATCATAATAGTAGTATGATCGTCAGCCCTCGTCCTTGAAGAGCCAGCAGCACTCTTCATCCATTATGGAGCAGATGCTGGATGACGACCAGTCAACCGACTACCGGTACTCCCGGGACCTGCACCGGCGCAGCAAACGAACGGTCTGTACATACTCACTTAAATATATAGCACTAGTAACAAAAAATACATTAGATAACTAGTTATGACATTATTAATTTCTCTTATATTTATGTAGTGATGAATGTTGTTTTATGAATTTATTATAATATATCCTATGTCAGACTCGTCATCTATATGAATGAGGTTTTTTAACATCCGATCCAAAAATAGTATAAGTGTATATTAAATTTGTAACATATCTAGTTCACTTAGATTATTCGTTCACAGTAGAAATTGGTAGGTATTTAGGATTCACTATCAATGTTAGTGAAATCTAAACTTCTCAACAGTGTTCTGTAAACAATTATATGCATAATATTTCTGTGTGAATTATTGTTTAACAACTACATTGTCGTGAAATATATTCTGAAATCTGTATTAGTGTCTAACATTATCGCGAGTATACCTACCATTAAATGCTGAATTTAAATCCATTACAGTCGTTTACGAAACTTGACTTAAATCCTAATAGTTTTATAAGTAAAGTCTGATTACCACAAGTTTTTATTGCCACAATACATGCGGAGATTTCCGTTTTGCATTCATAAATCTTCACACATTATATTATTAACATAAGTTATTGAAAGAGATGCGAAAAACGTTTCAAATGTGATGTACAAATGAACCGTTGCTAAGCATTATATATCTGTGTTTAAATTCAAAACAGTTAAAATGTATTATATGTTTTATAGTCTGAAGATATTCAATCGTGTCGCAGCGAGGCTATGGACAAAGTACCAGAGGTAATAACTGTTCTTGACAAACATAAATAACATTATAAATATTGAATGAATGATGAACGAATTGTTTCAGTTGAACCATTCCCTGAATGAAGTGATTGAGAACGAAGTGGTAAACATTTTTGATATTAAAATTATTGCTGTTTTATGTAGATATAATATTAGAATAAAATTATATTTAATGAATAACTTAAATTTCAGCCAACGACTATACGATCTGTGAACGATTTCAAGCAAGCTGTTGCCGTGAGTGTCAATATTGGTATTTAAATCGAGTTTTTTAATGAGGTTATATATTCAAATAAAAATTTTCCAGAAAAAATCTAACGATTCAACCAATATATACGAAATGTTGAAAAACAAGAAGTGGAATAGACGCAGTGAGTTATAATAATTATCTATTTTTATTGAAAATTATTCAGTATTGAGTAGTCTTATAATTTATAAAACTTGGATATTGACTAATAAAAATATTCATTCAATTATATACCTACCTAAAATAACGTACCTAATAGGGAATGTTGTGATTCAAAAATTCACCAAGAAATTCATACGTAATCTTTATTGCTAAAGAGATATACCTACTCACATAAATACAATTACAAATAATCATGTTTATTTTCCATTGAATGTAAAATTTGAAATATCAAAGGAAAAGTTTACGAATAATTTGTATATCAGTTTGCTATCCAAATATAATAAACCTATATGTTCTTATATATTTTTAACATAAAACACAGTTTTCATATATTTATATATTAGGTATTATATAGCGCTAGTTATATATTTGTTTTCAAGGTACTCAAAACTCACAAAGAACTCAAGACGGTACCAGACAGAAGTCTGTCACCATCTGTAATCAACCGAAGCAGTCCAGCGTTAATAGAAGGAATATATCACAAGCTAATGTTAGTCCAACAAAACTTACACCCAGTTTTATCAATGTTAAATAAGCAATAGCTTGTTAAGGCGTTTGATGCTCTGTTAGATGTATCGAGCGTCCGACCGCGATCTAATGTCTGTTTAAATGTCCTAACAAGATATTCATATTAATTTCTGTTCTAAAGGTCTATTAATTTATCGTATTGTCTAAATTCAAATGTCCAATCCCACCACTGAAATTTTCTAGCTATAATAGTCATCTTTGGTTTCCTCACCCCTTTTTCGTCCACAATTTTCATTAATGTGACGTCACGATAATATTTAACAACAGACCATTGTAAGCACGGATGAGAACCTTCAAAGCCTGGACATCACGATACAGTGGCTGGCTCTCAATGAAGACTGTAAGGCTATGACTGATCCCAATGTGAGGAGGTTGTACGTAGCGTACACCTTCCTTGGCAGAAGCGGGGCTGATATGGAAACACCCGTCAGTCTACCGAAACCCAAGCATTATATGGATAAATGTCATTTTCTGTTCAAGAAAAGTACGTTTTTCAATACCATTTACTTGCAATTTAAATAATTGCTTAATTTCTCTTGTTTTTACGTCTCAATGTGTATAAATTGTATGAAATATCGCGTGGTCATTAGTTTTTTTCATGTGGAACTACGGAAATTGTCGAATTAACATTGGTAGAGTGAATTTGGAGAGCCATAGTAGATATAAAAAAAACATTATTTATGCAGAGTATAATACAGTTTTAGTAAATTGTTGGGTCATAATTTATGTTCTATGATAGTTTTCTCTCATCAGCGTTCATAGTGAACGAGTGTGATATGGTGACGTTGGGTCACTTGGCTCTGTGTCGCGAGCCGCCCAACGAACCTGACCCGCAGTGCGCGGTAGTGTTCAGTGTAGTCAGCGAACCCGCTGAAGATCCACTAGGCCTGGACAGCTGTGAGGATATCGGGTAAGAAATTTACATCCATTATACATATTTAGATTAGGCTGTTCTATAACACTCATCGTTGCTTGAAATTGAAAGATTTATAATTAACTTGCTCGGGTTTATTGACTATTGAACACCCCTTAAGAATTCCTTTCAAATAAGATTTCGTCACAATTCACATATATTAGCTTTCCGCCCGCAACTTCGCCCGCGTGGATTTCGGTTATATCGCGTTTCCAAGAGAACCTTTCAAAAGTCTGAGATAAAAACTATCCTACGTTCTTTCTCAAGGTCAACTCCATCTCTGTACCAAATTTCATTAAAATCAGTTCGGTGGTTTAGGCGTGAAAGCGTAACAGACAGACAGACAGACAGAGTTACTTTTGCATTTATAATATTAGTAGGGATGAGTCAGGTGCACTGTAAATATTATTCAATGTGTGAAGTCAATATGTTCAGGTACGCGTATCTGTACTTGGGGGACGCCCTAGCTAGTAGTTCCAGTGAGACGTATAATGGGGTGTTAGTGGTGCGGGATCCTCGCGGCGTGGACTGTGGAGCCCTGGCCCTCCGCCTGGACGGACTGACTCTGCTGAGGCGATGTAGGGACCTGGCTGGGAACGCCAGCCAGTAAGGTGAGCTGGGATTAACCGCTCGTAGTATGGAGTAGAGAAACATATATATAACAACACTTACATATTTGTTAATATATTTTCGAATCCCCTTTGTAGTGATTGTTATGATTGAGCATACATACATATAATATAAGAAAGAATATGGTAACATTTAATAAAAATTGTTCATAAATATTTTCTTATTTGTAGCATTATGTTTGTAACCATAGAATAAGTTACATGAGATAATTAGTCTATGTTTAGTTGACGGTCAAGTTTAGGGTGACTGGTAAGGTCATCATTATTTTGAATTTAAAACCTTTAATCTATATATAATATTAATATTGTTATATATCAAATCCCAACTAATTAGAGTCAATACATCGATATTATATAGTGTATTCGATCTATCTAAATACGCAGTCATAGTGTTGTGACGGCGTGCGACGGACGCGCGCTCGCGACCGAAATAATACGACGACGATCGACGGGACCGACCCGTAATACGTGACCCCGGGCTCACAGTGACCCCACGGTGACCCACAGTGACACCCCTAGTGACCCCACACGTGACATTGTAATATACACACCGCGAGTGACCACATTGTCAAACACATCAACAAAACGTTAACACAAAATATGTTTGTGCGGTCTTGAATACGGCTTCATCATTATAAACATTTTAGATAACTTAAATAAATGTATTGAAAGTTAATAGAAAGTGTTTGAAATCAATTCAATTATTTTTATGAATAGATTTGTTTTTATATACTTTTGAACTGATATGTCCAATGAAGAGAGGGAGAGAGTATCTACCCAAAAGGGATCGCTTTTATGATTCTATAATGCATAGAATCTTGGATTAATCTATGCCGTATAAATTAATAAGTTTTCTGATGTTGCATTTAGAGTACCGGTGTGTGGTAACATCTTCCACGTTCCAGCTCGACTCTCGTCCATAAAGATAACGTCTATCTGGTCCCAGCTAAGATTAATCGGTCAATCATTCCGTTGCATCGGCGCTAGGCGTCCTTGCCCCAGTGCCGTGCCAAAGACGCTTTTAGATCGGCCTATCCGCTGTACAATGTACAAACTTTCTTCCCACAACTTTCGATCGATCTTCGACCTTTTCAACCAGTAATAAGGTCGACAATGCCTGAATATAGTTATTAGCCAGTCTGAGATACCAAGGGACTTTCGTTGGCCATCGTCGAAAAGTAAATTTATGGTTGAATCAAAATAAAAATTGAAATTGTAATATTTGATAATGGTTAAAACTATTGCCCTTCACATTTTTCTTTAACAAATCTTATGAGGTTTATTAAAGTGCGGAATTTTATCACGGAACAAGTTAAAAGCTTTTTCATTATACTATAACAGTGCTAATAGATTATACGGTTCAACGTAACTGTTCACTCGATGTTAATTTCAGTAATACATTCAAACCATTAGAATGCCTGTGTTCAAACATTTCCCAAGTTTCTGTTGAGCTGTTTCTTGTCAGATCTTCTATGATTGTTCCGGAGTTGAAGTTTTAATGTGCTATGATTCACCAGTTCGATATATCTCGCTGGCTGGCTGACATTTCCGTCACTGGCCAGCCAATGAGTGATAGTGATAAGTGGCATCCAATACACTCTAGAGGAATGCTTTGAGTTCTCTCACTGTAAAAACAAAAGCTTTATATTATAGAATAGTTTCAGATAATATTTGTCATTAATTTTGATTTATCTAGATGATAAATAACGAAACAGAAGTGTGCATGACAAGGTTTTGTAATAAATCTGTCGCCTTATTTATAAATAGATGTTACAGTTATATTATATCATGGAAAACCGGACGTCGAAGTAGTATAAAATATTATGTTCCGGATGAAATAAATATATGACGGACCTTGAATTGATTTAGAATGACATTAACTGTGAAAAATGACAGTGTCAATATATAGGTTTTGTTGCAACGTAGAGTCATACAATATAAAAAATATATCCCTTTTTTGACGTCTCCTCAACCGGATGGGCCATCTGTCAAAGGTGGTTAGGATGGTTCCAACTACCTTATACTGCTAGTTTGAAAATTGTATATGGTGTCAGCTTTTTGGTGGATCCGTCGTGATGAAAATTGTCAAGAATTGGATCTACAATATGAGAATCTAACAAATGACCATCGACTGGTTTCTGAAAAATTTAAGTTTTTTCCTACCAGCGTACGTACTTTCTTGCTGTAAAAAGTTTTGTACCATATATACAAGTGTTCGTTTTTGTTGACATTAACTTAGTCGCTAAACTCATCCAATTATATTTCTTTCTCTGACGATTATCATCAACCGTTTAAAAGATAAAGTTTTATTGGGTTCGATGGGTTAATAGCTCCTCGTACCTTGATGCGTATAGCGTAGAAGAAATCTTTTACATATTTCAAATATGTCTGGAACATAAGAAAGTGTATTGGGATATTGTTTAAACTGTGAGTCGTTGTCTATTGACAGATTCTGTCAACTCTTCGACATTGTATTTGTCGTCACCGCGTCATGAACGTTGGAAACGTTAACAATTCATATTCTATTTTGATAGCATTTATGTTATTTTAATTGTTTCAATCAATTCGATTTTTCTTTGTGATTTAACAAAACTTCACGTTGTTCAAAAGCTTTTAGCTTTTATGATCGATAATCCTTCTTGAACTTTATCCCTAAACGTTTCAATAAATTTTATTCAAAAATTTTAAAGTGGTCTTTTTTCTTTCGGGAATATGTTTCAAACATAGTACTACATAAATAGTTTAGGTCTTCAACTATGTCATCGTTTGCATAAATAAAGCGCATTTCATATGAAGATATACGATCTTGTTATTGAATATATTAAGTTGGCAGTCGGTTGAAAGACGTCTGGTCTCAACTATACATAAATAAATACAGTAATATTCTGAATGACTTACAGAAACACTACACATATAACACGTGAAAACTTGAAAAACACTGTTCATTGTATTAAACATTAAAAGTTTATATACCCCTATATAAACATAAAAAATATTATAGAAGTGAAGTTGTATTTTTTAAGCGAAATCAAACTTTACGTACTTGTGCACCAAAATTATTATACAGTGAATTAGTATAACAATTATTGACAAAAGACAAAAAAGACCCACACAATGGATCACGAACACAACACACTAGACATCATGACTAAAGAGGCGATAGGTCAGTGGCAATGCATTCGAAAAGATGCAAAAAATATTTGTTAAAATTGTGCTCTAATAAAGCTTTCGTTTTTAACATCTTTTACGTATATATTACCTATATACAATACTGAAATTATTTCAGCATATTAGTATAGATAAATGTTTTGTTAACAATAAAAAAGAAAATACTTGTAATAACTGACAAAAAATATAAGTTAGAAATGAAACTCAAGTAGTCACTGTACCCACACTAAACACATATTTACTTCAGACAGAAGTGAACACAGATGCCTAATTTGTAGTTAGAAGTAGTAACCACAGCAGTAGAAATTGTAGTAACGCTTCATAGACGTAGTACATAGACAAGCTTTATATTATGTATACAAACACAAAATACCTATACTAAATAAATACCTAGTATCCCTAGCTCAGTTGCAGTCCCACCCTAAATCCTGCCTTTATTATTAAACGCAAACAGGGTCACTAATATTTCGTTGTTTAAAGCTTGTTCAGCATCACTAAACCGTTTGCTTTATGAAGTGTTGGGCGTGATCCTCGATCACTGTCTGTGTTGGTTGTGCTGGTGTCAGTGTAGTGATACCCGGGTTGTGCAGAGTTCGGCGAGTGGTTGAGTCGCGTGGCTGTGCCGGCACTGCTCCGCGCGCGACGCTCCCACAGCGAGGCGAGGGCCCGGGCGCTCACCATCCGCGCCAATATGGAGGTTGGTACTTTCATATTCATATATTTATATTACCAAAAAGAAATCCTCGTATAAACTGTTCTATAATCTTGATTAACTTTCATAAATCGTCTTATTGTTTTGGATAGTATTTTCTTTCCAATGTAATTTATATAACATCACCAACATCCCCAAAGACCATACCATCAAGGTCAACAAATATTACGAGCTCACAAACGAACTCACTCGAAATAGGTTCGTAGTAGATTTGTACGCGGTAGAGGTGGGAGCGAGAGGTATAACAGCGAAATCTCTCTACAACCTACTAAAGGACTTGGGCTTGTCCAGAACTCACATTAATGCATTCTTGGAACGTATATCGAAGGCAGCCCTAGTAGGTTCTTTACAAATTTGGTTAGGTAGGGAGAGGAGCTTGGACAGTGGAGGTGAGCGTATAACGCGCGTTAGTTAAGGGGCCCCTTAAACCTACACTTGGGTCGCAAGTCCCAGGCACTGTTGAAGCTCCTCTCCCTGCAACGCGATGGACCCGGCACCCGCACGGTGAATCCATGGAATGCTGAGTAGTTTCGTCTCTGATCCTTCTTTTGGTCTCCTTACATCATCAAATCTCCAAACTATCCTTAACTTGACCAAATTTTAATATGGTAGGTGCCTATAAAACGAGTTTTGATCGTTAAGCGAAACGGAGAAATCTTTCAGTTTCCCAATTATAAATCTTCACAGATAATAATATGAAAAAAACTGAATTTGTTTTGTAATATGCAAACTCGTTTACAGGCGTTTTATCTCTAATTCAGCTAGTGAAAGATAAATATTTTTTTAAAAGGTGCTACTCACCTAGAAGATTGACGATTGATTTGACTTCTATTATTTGATCATATTTTATGAACGTATATATTCCATTGAATATATACGTTCATAAATGGTCAAATAATATAATAATTTATCATTATAAATATTGTCTCTTCGTCCTTTGAATATAAAGTCTAACTGCCACTTATAAACTTTTTGCAATTCTGTTTAACCGGATTTTTAATATACCAATATGAACAAATGCCGGTAAATAGAGTTAGACAATGACGAAAAAACAATCCCTTTTCCGTACACTCGGACTCAATAAATATTAGATTGAAGAATTTTAAGACCATGCAGGTTAATATCTCAATGAACATTCTTTACATACCTACTTTGTGGTTTATCCCGATGATAATGTATTTCTTCTGTTAAATTATTTTGTAAAATGCCTTCCCCTATTTGAATGCTTTTTTGTTTATTAAAAAAAGCAAATTTTCTACTTTTACCTCTGATAGAAACGGATATTAATCATTGAATTAATTTTCCGAGCTTTAAAAGTGAAAAAGAAAAATTTAATTTCTGTCAAGCGCTGAGTACCTACTGGCTCTTAGTTTATAGTCGTGGTTTGTTGAGAAAGATCTCTTTAGGTCAATAGTATCATTTGTTGACATTAAATAATATTCATTCTTTTTTTATTTTATACTACGTCAAGGGTAAAAAGGCTCACGGCTCGCTCAATGGTAAGCGATCACTGATGCCTATAAGCACCAATAGGATCATTGCTTGTGCGTTGTCGTCTTTTCGATTATCTTTTCATTGTATCTTAAAGACGCCATTCTATAATTCCGTAATAGAACCTTAACAGAGAGTTAACAAAGACTTAACAGAGAGTTTGTCTTAATAGGGTTTGCGTTTCGGAGGAGAAAATACCTTTGAAATAGCACTGTTTGAGAACACTGAGGAGACTTTTGTGAGGAAGGACTTACTGCTGATGGCGAGTAATAAATAAGAGTATTTGGCATTACAGCTAATGGTCCCTAGGAACATACGTATTTATACAAAATGTAAAATACACAAAAATAAATAAGTATCGTAGCTTGTATGTAAAGTAGTCAAAAGGTTCAAGATCTGGAACTGTGGCAATGCAATTAATTTTTAAATATCACAGCAGTGTGAGCAGTGATAAAAGGCTGCCTACTGCTTTGAATAGGCTCCACAATACTCTAGTTCCATTTAATCAAATCTTAGGTATCTTCACACATCAATAAATTATAGTTAATACGTAAGGGTATATTAAATTTATTAAAATTTACTTGTAATATAAGAAATGATTCCTGATTTATCAGCCGTGGCACTGCTCATAGGAATCACTCATTTTAGAATAAAAATACGTCTTAGAAATGGCCAAGTTTATCGACTCAAATCACGTAAATAATGAGCCGTTTATTAATTTTAATGTTTCTGATCTCTTCAGCACATTCAAAGAGCAAGTTGTGTTCACATTAATAACAAACTAACACAGTTCGCACCATCAACATGTTTTATATCCGTCATTCAATCGTTTTAATGTAGAATGCTCTGCGACGTACTCCATGTTGTAAATATTTCGTCAAGTTAATACAACTGGATTTATGAGATTTTTATAGCTCCCATGAAATCCCTTTACCTAAATGAAGTGCATTGCTATTCTTTTAGATATTTGATTTTCATAGTTGACAGGTTAGCGTCAACTATAAAAATATATATAAAAAAGGAATGCCCTTTAAACTTATTGTCTATGGAGGTAATTATTGTCTGTTTATCTATATACATATATAAAAATGGATTGCTGTTCCTTAGTCTCGCTAAAACTCGAGAACGGCTGAACGGATTTGTCTTATCTTAGTCTTGAAATGTTTGTGGAGGTTCAGGAAAAGTATAAAAGCTGAAAAAAATAAATTCCGGGGAAACCCTAAAAACAGTGCTTTTCTATTTCCCATACAAACGGGTTTTTTGACATTAGATTTGACAACTAACTAATATGTCAATAATTCTGTCGCACTTTAGAATACGGAGATTTATGGCTTAAAGGTAAACTCCAAAAAAATAATCAAGAAATAAATTATTTCTTCATTGAGGCAGTACGAAGTCTGCCGGGTCAGCTAGCCTTTATATATAAAAGAAAGTTTGTTAATTACTATTTATAACTCAATAATGACTGTACGGATATGGTTGAAAATTGGTACCAAGAGACGGACATAGGATATTTAATTATGTTCGATCGAAACAGAAAAAAAAAATTAAAAAATTCCAATATCTGATTATTTATAGCCTCTAGGGTGAAATAGAGTTTGTCCAGCCAGCTTTACATATATTACTAATGCCGAAATTAACGCGGACGAAGTCGCGGGAAAAATCTAGTTATTTATATATATTACAGTTAGTATATATACATTTAATAAATAAGTCTTATAAATAAATCTTCATATACAACACGTACGAGATTCCTCAAGCATTAGCATACCGCGAAATTATTATTTTAATTGGCTGTCATGATTACACAGATTACCTATATTTTTTATTTTATAAATAACTTCCTCTCGTAACAAAAATCAAAATATCAAAATTTAAATGAAACTAATATATTTTTTTCGGATAAACTACGTATGTACGCGATTTTTATTTTTATCAAAAACTACACATTCTCGACGTTTCCGTTACTTTACAGCAACCCTGATCATGGGCAGACGAGATGTGAATGTCTGTCACGAATATCAAAATTACTACTTATAATATGGGCGAGATATTTATAATAAGCTGCATTCTATTAAAATAACCACAATATATTAATTAATTATAAATGAAGACAGCGAGTTATATGCTTGAAAGATTTATTTTATTATCAGGCTCTTCAAAGATCCCGTATATTATTTATTTATTTCAAAATATATTATTGTGGTTCTATGCCAAATCATTAGTTATTTTGGTACACTGCTTATATAGTTTTCAGATGTTTACTTAATTATTATTTCAAGATGCGATATTAAAATAAATAGCATCTGTTGGTGAATCAGTGAACTAAATTATAGACATCTGTCGGGAAACAGCTGAGCTAGGTAGGAACAGATATTTAGTGTGAAGTTATTTTTGATTCAAACCTTTAGTTAGTATGTAGTTGCATATGTTTTCCATGAGATGGCGCTGTTTAAACTGTAGCAAATCATTAGTAACAATAAGAACACTTTTTACAATAAATATTAAAGGAAAATAATATGTTGTTGTAGATGAATTTTTAACAATCCCAATCCAACTTTACTATAATATTGTAATTACTAGTTTTGAGGTGAATTGGTGACTTAGTTGTCAGGGTACTTGTAACTTATATTAGTAATCCAGGCTTATGACAAACGAAATCTAATTTATGCATGTTATTGTTGAATCAAACTAAATGATAATTCATATTATTTAATAATAGTATGTACAATTAATGTAATAAAAATAAATATTTTAGAATTCATCTCGAAAAGCCTTGTTATTTGTAGATCAGTTCAGATAATTAAGCAATTTGTTTTCATAACATCTATCACTTTTGTTTTAAATGTTACAGTTAATCTTCATATTCTTATATTCATAGCCTTTTCAACTCTCTAACTCTTGACAATACCGTGGGACATAATACTATTTAAATTAAAACAATATAAGTGAGTTCACTTTATATCACGCTAGCTTTCCGCCCGCAGCTTCGCCCGCGTAGAGTTCGGTTATATCGCGTTTCCAAGAGAACCTTACAAAAGTCTGGGATAAAAACTATCCTATGTTCTTTCTCAAGGTCAACTCTATGTCTGTTCCAAATTTCATTAAAATCTATTCAGTGGTTTAGGCGTGAAATCCTAACAGATAGACAGACAGAGTTACTTTCGCATTTATAATATAAGTAGGGATCTAATTAATAATTTCACTTCCCAATGACTGAACGGAGATTACCTTTAGAAGTTAAAATATAATGACAAAATTGCAATTTTATCTAAAATTACTTCCAGGAGTAGCATTGATTCAGTAACATTTAATACTTATTTAATTATGATTCTAGTTGGAAATTTAATAAATCAAAAACCATTATTTACGCATGATACTCGTATGTTAATCGTGAATTAAAAATAAAACTAATTATCTTGAGAATCATTAATTCCTTTAAAAAGGTCTAGTTTACTTAATTTACCAATTCATTATC